TAGGGGCGGGCTGGTTGATCAAAATTTTGAAGCTGATGACGCTATGATCGGCTCCAGGAAGGGGCACAAGTTTCTTGACATCCCGAATTCGTCTCCCATCATCTGCTATCACGACATCTAAAGTAAAGAAAGTAGGAAAGCAGGAAAACGATTGAAAACATGTAAACCGTTAAGAATCATAAAATCTTTAAGCATCCATGAAGGTCTGTGATACAAAGCGTATACGGGGATCGAATTCTTCCACGTGATTTTACAATTTAGATCGCCCAAGAGAATGTTGCAATCATATTCGTGAAAATGAAGGGCTAATAGGTTAAAAATAGACTCTGTGGCTGAAAATGAAATATAATTTGAGTCAAGGATTGAAATAAAGCTTTTTTTCAAATCAAAACGAGAACAAACGGCTTTTTTAGAAGTAAAAAGTGGTTTTCAAATCAATTCTCAAGAATTATATCAGAAACAGTATGGAAAGTAATTTTTTTGGAAAGGTCGTAGAGCTCAAAATGTTATAGAAGGGAATCGTATGCGAGATTCCCCGACCCCGCGACACGCCAATTTGGGCTAAAGGCAAAAACTACGCAACTTAACGCTTTTCCGCGTTTTGCCTTTTAGCCCAAATTTGACGTGTCAGCGAGGTCTGATTTGTCGAAATTCGGAATCTACGCATACGATTCCCTTTTGGAAGTATTTTCGAAATATTTTCGAGGCTCTCGGCCTTGCCTAAGGCCTTTTCCAGCAAAAAAGGTGCGCAAATGTCCAGGTGCGCAAAAAAAAGGTCGCATTTGTCCCACCCCCAAGAAGTATTATATCAGAAAGTAATATAAGAATATTACAAGAAGTATTACATCAGAAACAGTACGAAGCACTTGATGCAGCAAGAATTTGATTTTTCTTTTAAACAAACAGCTGATTGAAACAAAAAGCCAATGTTAAAAACTGTGTTAGCAAGGAAAAGGAATGAAATTTTGAAACAGCTTTCAAGTTGCTCAAGCTTTGGTACAATGGAAATTAATATATAAAGTAAATTGAGGACTTTTCAGCCTCTGCCATCCGAATCGCCACTCAGCACAGCCAAGCCCGCCAAAAGTCCCATATTTGGCGTCACCCGAGGACTTGACGAGTCCAGAATCGTTGAACAACAATCAAAGGCGGGAATTCGAGCCGGATTTGTACGAGGATCGGTGAGTGAATATATCGATTTATTTTTCAAGTCGGGCTAATTGATTTGTTGATCGGGAAAGAGTCTCAAAATTTAAATGAACGATCGACAAGTATCCCCCATTATTGTATGGGGAAAATGGCAGTTGATATGAAATCATTTTAATGCAAAAAAAAAACAAAATCAAAGTGTTTCAAAATATTTCAAAATTGTCAACATTTTAGAATTGGTATCAGCCGATCCACGGAGATCTTCAGCAAAAATTGCAGAAAGTTTTGAGTGATGCAGAGCAAAATGATTGGAAGAAAATTGAGGAAGATGTGAAGGATGGATTCGTGGAAAAAGTGCGCTTAAAAAGGCATAAAACTAAGATGTACTTTGTGCTCTTTTCAAATCTTGTAAACATCTTGTAAACATCCTGTAAACACTCACTTTCTGGCTTAGGGAATTCTTCCATTTTCTCGTTGCTATGAGGGGGAAATGAAAGGGGTACTTATTGATTATAGCTGATCAAGATAATCAGCCAAAGAAGGGCACTTTTGAGAAGAATACTCGAGACTTTAAATGTATAAAGTTCAAATTCTAAAATTTATACATTTTTAGTTTATGCACAACTTGTGCGGGGTGGGACGGTGGAAAAACGTGGAAGTGATCAAGACCAAAACCGGTCTACTCGTCAATCATTTGCTGTCGAACGCGAGCCGAGCCTGGAGGTATATTACATGTTTAAACTTCCTTTCTCATTTGTCTTCTTTCAGATGCCACACGAATACCAGTAAAGAAGGCGATCATTGAGAACTCGAATGTTGCGTGTGCGATTGCGGGACTCGATCGAGCATTTGTTGGTTTTTACATTTTTGCTTGCTAAGATATCAATCAAATCCTCTTCTTTAGTGGGCAATTTTTCAGCTGGCTTGCCGGTTTTTTGTAAAATGTAGGACATTCGTGTAAGCTTTAGCAGCAGCTTAAAAGGGATTTATGCAATTTTTGAAGTCTTTATACTTTTTATCCACTTTAAAAGGAATTGTGGTGGGTGGCCTAAAAGGAAACTTTGTGGGTGGTCCCGTGCCTTTCTCATTTCCATCCATTCCCCACCCCGCATTCCCTTTTCACAAAACAACCTATAGTCACACAGTCAAAGCATAGTCGTATTCGGGTGACTTTCTAAGCACAAACATATGTATCTATGTTACTTCCGGATCTTATTCGGACGTCAGGATCTGATCCGGACGTCAGGATCTTATTCGGACGTCCGAATCCGGTCATTGATTATCTTGTGGTCGATTTCAAATGTCCGAGTCCGACCATACTTAAGATAAATCCTAATTAACCAACTTTTAATGCTAATTGGCCAAAGTTATCACTAACTATCATTGAAACTATGAGAGTTATCCAGTCTACATGTTTCTCTCCAAGTCTCCCCCGTGTCTCATTGCCGTCATTCTCCCAACTTATTCCCCTTTCTTCTAAACATTTCCCTTCTAAATCCCATTGTTTCCGCACCATTTCACGGCCAACAAACACCCTTTCCGCCTCTTTTTTTGCTAATCGCGATTCCTTTTTTCTTTTCAAGGAAACTTTGAGGAGAAAAGTGTGAAATCGATGGAAAACAGTAAAGAATCGAGAAGGAGAAAAACCGGATTTCTTGAAAAAGCGAATAAATTCACGTTATCGGTTTTCTCGAAAGCAATATTGGAGAATAAGGACCGTTTTGTGACCATGAAAGATTCGCCTAGAAATTCGCAAATGTTGTTCAACTTTTGCGTAGAAATAGTCGATCCTTGGCTTCACGTATCGTGAGATACGCAAAGAATTTTTGCGTATTTAAAAATATAGGACCATAGCAATGGGAAAAAGTTACGGTATCGACCTCGAACGCTTTTTGCCACGTGGACAGGTAGTTGTCCGAATTAGAGTCAAGAAAAAGAAGAAGTTAATCAATTTTGGGAGGCGGAAAGTTGACGAGTTGACGAGGTCGGAGGAGATTTGAGGCAAAGGAAATGCTCAAATTTCTGGATCGAACATTTCGAAAACGTATCAGGCTAAGGGATTAATAATAATAAATTTTAATAATAATAATAATAATAATAAAGCATTTCCTATATATATGTCGTAGCCGATTATGAATGAAATTTTTTGGTAAATCTTTCTAGTAGAGCAAGCAACATGTATGAGGACAATATTATATCATCCTGTAGCGAATTAAATTCTGCGTCGATTGGTACCAAATTTGTGAGTTTAGGTTAAAAATTACCGGCACTACAACGTTTCATTCAAAATCGGCGGGACCCCCGTAGCCGATTATGAATTTCAGCCGATTATGAATGAGTGGGTCTAGGAGCGTCCAACCATCAAGTATTTGGTATCATTCAACGCAGAATCATTAATAATTATGTTAAATTTTTAAAATTAGAAAGATTTGATAAAAAGAAAAAAAATTATGGGGCCTCAAAGTTTCCTCTTGAACAAACAGTTTTTTTGCTCTAATTTTTTTTTCTTTTTATCAAATCTTTCTAATTTTAAAAATTTAACATAATTATTAATGATTCTGCGTTGAATGATACCAAATACTTGATGGTTGGACGCGTCCGGACCCGCTCATTCATAATCGGCTACGACATATATAATAGGTTGATGCATAAGTCTTTTCGTTTTGTTTCGTACTTCTGTTAAAAAGTAACAAATTCACCAATTAATCTATAGTTTGCTCTATAAAAAAAAGTGTTTTTTTGTTCAATTTGCATCTTTTTAAATGAATTTCGGTTGACTTTGAAGCAAATTCGAGAGTGAAAAACGCCTTTTTCGTAAAAATCTATAAAAAACTCTACGGAAAAATTGGCTCAATGAATTTCTCTGAAATTTTGGCGAAATACCAAACGTTTTTTGTTCTATCTTTTATCTATTGACACGAAGATAGGTTTTCTTTAGCTAAGGTGTCTAAACCGCATCATCGAGTTAGCCCTTTTTGACTACCCGACTTCATACTCTCAAGAAAATCCAGGCATTCAATATTTTTAAACCCGTTTTAATGTTATTTTGCAGAAAAATAATTGCTTTTTCTAATGAAATCAACCGTAGTTTAATTCGTGCATTTGTTGGCTTGGAACGGCAGACGAAAGGGAACAAAAACACTTATGCATCAACCTAATATATCAATAAGAAACGATTTTTATTTGTAAAATTGAAATCAAAAATGTTTTTTTGATGTTATTTTTGAAATTCAAAGCTATTTTCAAGCATTTATTCAGCATTAAAAAAAAATTTATAAAGTTTTACAAAAAAAAAAAAAAATTGAAATGAGCCTTTTGAAAGAGTGAATAATGAAAAAAAAATCGTTACATTATATACAAATTTTTTTATTTTTTATTTTTGTTCAAAAGAAACTAGATGAAAAGTTTAAAAAATCGAAAAAATGAAAAATAGAAAAATCGAAAAATCGAAAAATCGAAAAATCAGGAAGAAAAGTCACCCCGTTTTTTTTGAAGTTTTATGTTTAGTATTGAAGTTTCGAGAATTCTTTTTATTTTTTTGGGTTTTCTGGGAGAACTTTCAGTTCTAAATTAATCTAAAAAGCCTATTTTTAGCAAAAAAAATATGCAAATTTTTTGAAACTTTCATTTTTTTGAAATCTTGGCTTAAAATTTTCGAATTTTTTGACTTAAAATGGCTTTTCGATCTATTTATTTCTGTTTTTTTTGAAAATTTGCATTTAAATTTACATTTAATTGACATTTACATTTACATTTTGAAAGCTTTAAAAACACGTAGATTCAAGAGTTCGAATTGAATAGCTAAATCGTTATTTGCTCGTGTTTCATCCATTCATTCATTCATTCAATCACTCATCTCCTCCATAAACACTCTCATCCGAGTAGGCGATGTAGAGGAAAAGATCCTCCTCGTGGTGATCCTAGAATCGGTTTAAAATTTCATCTTTAGAAATGCAAATGTAAAATGTAGCCTTGCTGAGTCAATTCTAAATCCTGCCTAGCCGCTCGCACAGTTTCTCGGACAGAAAAACAGATTCGAACGAATGCGGAACGTAAATTGATCTGGTACTTTTAAAACCCCTGGCACAGCTTTGTAAGATGGTTTTATAAGACAAAGCCTTGCTTAGAGACAGACTTACACAAAGACAATCAATTTCAGTCAAAACTACCGTAATCTTCCGCCAGTTTTTCACTCAATTAGCCTAATTTTGGTGAAACTCGATCAGGGAATCACAAGGCTCGAGTTAATCATAACAAAATTGGGCTAATTAAGTGAAAAATCGCAAAGGTTAGGGTAGTTTTAGCTGAAATTCGATTCGAAAACACTTTACTATGAGGAAAAAATTTCCGTGTTTCAACTTACTTAATCAACAAGTCCCAATCAACTAATTAGTTAACGTCAGTCATTTCAAATCAATAGTTTCAAATTTAACAGCTCCTAGCCAATTTTTCGTTTTTCTAATTAATGAAGATTTTTCTCTTTCCTCTTACCTGATAGAGTTGTCCCATGGTGGTCATCGTTTGTGGAATGACGTTGTTGACGAAGAAGAAAAGGGCGTCCTCGGGTCGGAGATGGATTCTAAAGGAAAGATACAGGTAAAGAGCTCTTTTTTGAATTTAAATAATCCTCCATAAATCACTCATTTCATTTGTTCACTAAAATCCTTTGGTACATAAACTAAAGCCCCAATTCAGCTATCATTTGAAAGCTTTGACTGACCTCTTCCTGATCAAGAAGTAGAATTGGCCAACGGTTAAATCAGAAGGCACCAAGTATTTCTTCTTGTCCAAATCGCGTAGCCGAGATTTTGGGGCCTTCTCGACGATTACCTTGAAAATTAAAAAAAATGAACCTACTACGTTATTAATTTGCCTCAATTACATTTGATATCAAAAACTTTGAAACATCAAATATTTTTTTCAAAAAAGTCTCCTACAATAGCCCCAACTTCTCCATAAAGCCTTGATATTAGGTATTTGGGACTTTAGGTACAACATTGTACATTGTTTTTGGATTTTCGGAGCACTAGACAATACATTTTTGACAGTACTGTACTGTACTTTACTTCTACTAGATTGGCTCAGCCTGTTGGTGAGCTACTAGGGATATTCTAAGAAACAACAAGCACTTTAGGGTACTGTACTAACTGCTATATCCTAGATACGGTCTATACTTTTTTTGGTACTATGTACCGTACCCTTTTCACTCACTGGAATCCTGTCCGGGTACTTTCTGCGGATTTTGTCCCCCTCAGCGCGTCGCTTCTCGAAGTTGTTCTCTTCTTTGTATTGCCACTTCATTTTTGTCGGTTGATCAGGTTGAATATCTGATATTAGATTTATATTTAATAAATCTAAATAAAACATACCCAATAAAAAAGAAAAGAAAAAAAAATAACCAATTCAAAAGTGGACCACTATGCAAAAATTAAATTAATTAATAAATTTGATATATGAAAAACTTTGAAACACGGATTTTTCAAAAACACGTATTTTGATTTCACTATTTTGGTTTACAAAAATAGGTTTACTATGAAAGAAAACATAGTCTCTTTTAGATGTTAGATAAATATTAGCTATAAAATAGTGCAGATTTAATAAAAGATATTAAAAATGAGGCTAGAAATGGGTTTTAATCAGTTTTAATCAGATTAAAGCAAAAATTTCCCTAAAAAATAGGCTTGTTTCAAGATTTTTGTAGTGAAAAGTCAAGGGTTTTGGTGAAATTTTGGGATTTTTATCTTAAAATTCGACGGGAAACAGTCAACTGATTCATTTTCGTTGCAAAAGCGGGCAAGATTTCGCAATTGGTGTCATTGCGCAAGAGAAAGGAACAGGGGGGAGATACGGTAGAGGAGTTGCGAAATATCATCACAAGCAATTTTTCATGAGCTCAGCGTGTACTTTGTGCTCTCAAATCTCGCAAACATTCCCTTTCCGGGATGCTCAATTGATTTCAATGCTCAAGCATTTATTAACTAACTATTAAACATTTATTTTTAACTATTTATTAACTAATTATTTTATCTGGTTTACTATGGGTTTAAATTGAAACATTCAATTGAAAGCTCTTTAGTTTTAAAGCGAAAAATTGGATTTTAAAAGGAGTATGTCTTATTTTTGTCAAAGTTTTGATCAAAATCATAAACCTAGCTTGTTAGCAACTCGAAAATTGGGTAACTAAAACTGAAAGAGACTGAAAGAAAAAAGCTATGGTTTTCGAGTTGGGTTTCAAAGGGACAAGCGACCAGTTTTCGTTTTTTTTGAACTCACTTATAAAGTGAATGTTTCACCCAATCAATTGTAAAAACCTTTAAAAAATTGTAGCAAATCTCGCATCGAGCAAATGAACTTCGCTAATGAAACCGACAGCTATTTCTGAAACGCTTTTGAACTATTTTCCTTGATCAGGATTGCTCAAATCGATTGGGAAAGCTGTAGAAAATTCATGAGCTATTCATAATGAATTAATCATAATGATTTTGGTGTAATCAAATCAAGTACAACAAGTCGCATTAAACTGTTAAACTGAATTAAACTGACAACGATTTCCTGGAACTAAGAATACAATGGTGAAACAAAACATTGAATTTTTGATCATAAAAAATCTCAATGTTTCAAGTTATTTGAATAAGAAGCGTTTAGGAGTAGCCTTAATGGCACCTTGAACAATCCACGGAAATTTCAGTCATTTCTGCATTTTCCTTAAAATGCCAGCTGATTGAAATTTTCGATTTTTAGAAAAGATCCCCAGATTTGAAACTCGAAAAATTTTTTGCTGGTCTAACTTTTCTCTGAAACTTTTCTCCAAAGACAAAGAGATTTCTCTTCTTCTTTTCCCTTTTCCCATCACCTTTACCATTTTTCAACAACCAGTTCTCTCTTCTCAAAGAGATTTCAAAAAGATTCCGATCGCAAATAATTTTTCTTTTTTTTTTGAGAAAAGAAGACTGTAAGTTTCTCTTTTTTTTCTTTTTATTGTCAAACTTTTACTCGCAAACATTGCTGGGACTGTCTAGAGTGGTAAATATTTGGTGGAAAGGGAATGGTTGCTGGGGAATTGGTTTCAAGTTTTAAATAGCAGTTCTATTCGGGATTACAATTGATGAGGAAATGAAGAAAAAAATGGTTGCTGGTTTACAATTTGATTGGTTTAGTTTTTTGAAAAGCTTACAAATAACTTTATTCCGGGATTACTGCAGTTATTATGTGAAATAGAAATAGGCGAAAGTTTTTGATTTCATTTTTTCGATTTTCGACTTAAACCGAAAATTTCACAAAACGTTTTTTTTTATGATATCCGATTGAAAATTTGATAGTTTTTAAGTTCAAAAATCGAATTGTTAGCTTTGTTTATTTGAGTTTATTAGTTGAGTATTAGATGCCTGTAATAGTAGTGCAGTCTATAATAGTGGTGCAGTCTATAATAGAGGTGCAGTCTATTGCGGTCCAGGAGGGGGTTCAAAAAATAGTAATGCGCACTACTATTAGAGAGAACACGGTATTTGAGTTTATTTTTGATTTGAATATTTGAGTTTATTGTAACTTCTATGAAAAGCTTGCAAATGAGAAATCTTTTGCAGTTGAAAAAAAAGAAGTTTCAAATTAAAACAAATTCAAGAAAGATTCTCAAAACCAATGAATCTGAAACTTCGATCTAATTTTCATTTTTCTTAAATGATTTTCCAAAGTAAAGAAATCAAGAAAGCTTCATTTTGATAGCTGGCAACAATTGCAGTAAGGAATTGTATTGGAATCGTATTGAGATCAAATAGTAACCGTATTGGAACCGTATTGGCGAAGAAAAAAATCATCTAGATAAACGAAATCATCTAGATCTTAAACTTTTTGAAAGAGAATAACAATAACCAAAAAAAAAAAGTGAGCACTTTCTGAAATCTTTACCCATTTTCTTGGCAGTATTGCCTAAAAATGAGCAGATGTTTCGCCTAATTGAGCCCAAAAAAGCAAGCCAATTTTGGCTCAACGCTGCCAACTTTTTCTGTGGCTAAAAGTCTGGGTTAAAGGGGAAACATTGCGAAATAGGGTAAATGGATAGAATGTTAATACTTAAATATGATTAAGCTTTCTTAACTCAACCACATTATTACGGTGAGGCTAACGCTGAAACAAGAAGCTTTCTTTCTCGTTCTTTATGGTGTAGTTAACTCAAAACATGTTTAAACATGTTTAAAGAAGCTTTCAAAAAGGTTAAGAGATAAATAATAGATTTAAATGAGTCCCCAGAAAGGATAGGGATTCAGAAATGTGAAAAAAGTCTAGAGAAAGAATGAAATGTTTGAATGAAAGATGGTTTGAAATGGGTTGAGCGTCTTTAAGCAGTCACTCCGCAATGACCATTCGGGTAAACGCCCATGTGACACGGGCACACACAGCCACATCTCAGCTGATGTTTGGTGAAAGAGTAAAGGAAACGAGGAGACACGGAATCGATTGGGGAAAAGAAATGGAAAGAACGAGGGAAATGGGAAGAGGGAAGCAGGGGAAAAGAAAAGAGAATATCTAGAGGAAAGCGCTCATTTGAATTCAACAAAGAAAACACATCAAACAACAAATTCTTCAGATGAAGTCATCTTTTTTAGACTTTGTTTTTTGTTTTTTTCTACTTTCTACAGTCTCCTTTATCTAATCCTTTTCTTAAATCATCTCAAAAGCTATCCATATCCAAAAGCTATCCATCATACTCATTCTTGTCTACCGTAATCCAGCTTAAATTTTGTCTAACACTTAGATCAACGAATTTCTCGTTCACTTAAACATTAGACTATCGTTTACTTAAGCAAAACTTAAGTAAACGATGGTCTAAAGTTGCTTAAGATGCTTACGTTAAATACTGTAATTGTACCCCATCCCCATAATGACGGTGCGGAGCGTTGCGTAGTCTAGCTTTGGACGCGTTTTTCTTGATACTGGTTTCTGCTAGAATGCGGGCTTTGGTATCAAAAAATAGCCCTGAATTTCAGCTATTTTTTGATACCAAAGCGCGCATTCTAGCATAAACCAGTGTCGAGAAAAACGCGTCCAAAGCTAGACTACGCAACGCTCCGCACCGTTGAAAAACAATGAAATACTAAAAAAACTTTTGCGACTACTCGACTGTACGAGGAGGGTGGGGTCCAATTACAGTATTTACGGTAAGTTTTTCAAAAAACGGTCTACTTTTTGATATTGCATCATGAATTTTTGAAAAAATCACTTTTAAAGCCAATCTTCATCTTCAGAAATTCAAAAAATCACTCATTTTTCAACAATTTCATCCTCCAATTTTCAATCTATCTTACTAAAATCATTACTTTCTATCGCCATTCTATCATTTAATCAGTTTTCCATTTCATAATGCAATCTTTTTCCAGATTTCTCGAATGGAATACCTCAATGACCTCAATTCAGGCTCCATTGGAGATCCTACTCACACCGTTCAAGCGTTTCCACCATCACCACCATCACCCGCCTCACGCACATCAACCGCCCCAATTTGTTCCACAAGCAGTCGCCTGTCCTAATTCCATGGCCGCAATTATTCGTTTAGCCGGCCTAAGTGGAGCCAGTGCGGTCATTCTTGGTGAGTTATGAGCAGAGAAAAGAATGTATCAAGCTCTAAAGGTCAATTTGGCATCATCATGCCAAGGTTGTTCCAAAACCAAAGCCAGGGCCAGGTTCTGGCTTTGGTTCTAAAGCCAGAGCTGAGCCTGTCTTTTATCTTGGCTTGACCTGCTTTACAGGTTTACCCATACCCGGTTGGAATGTCCCCAGTCATATATGGCCTGTGGTCCAACTGGGTCATTCTAGAATTCTAAAAAAATACCACAAAAACTTCTCCAGGAGCCTACGGATCACACGTATTGCGAGATCAAGTGGACGAGCATCGGAAGAAAGCCTTTGACACCGGGTCGCGCTATCATTTACTGCATTCGGTAAGTCGGAAAGGCTAGTCTTTACAGCTTTTGCTTCAGCATTTTGAGTACTTACCATATACCTGCGTAGTACCGTACTTCCGTATATCTAGTGCCAGACGCGTATCCAAGGGAAGACCAAGGGATACAGGATCTGCCTAGTACCGTAATATCATACGGTAACGGCAGTTATCTAAAGCTCTGGCTACCGTACACCAAATTTTCTTTCCAGGTGGCTCTGCTCGGCGCTCGTCAGGCTCGTCACCCTCTACTAACCGCTCTTCTCTTCTCGGCCGGCATCATTCTCTTCTGTGGCCCCTGCTATCATTACAGTATCACCGGCGAGGAGAAGCTGCGGAAATTCACGCCAACCGGCGGCATTTTGTTCATCCTCGGCTGGTTGTCGTTCATTTTGTAAAGTTTCTTCAATTTTTTTTGTTATGATTACTATAGGCGTGCTATAGAATAGCCAGGTCAAGCCAAAAATTGAATCATTTGTCAATTCATTTGTTATTTGTTCGAATCTCTTCTTATACAAGTGCTTTAGATTTGCATGTTACTTAATAATATTTAAATTAGCAATGTAGATTCGTATGCAAATTTAAAGCTGATACTCCACAATGCTTTAGATTAGCAACTCCGAAACTTGTTAGACTTTGATATCGCTAGGGTACCAAACTTTCTTCATTCTTACATAAAGCAATTTGAAAAACTATTTCGCAAACAGACAAACAAACAATTGCAATAAAAGAGGGGAAAGATAACTCTATCTCTAACAAATATATAATACATCTATATAATAAAACAGGGTTCGTGGTGGGGAAAAACGAGCACAAACAACGCATAGAAGCAACCCGAATGCAAATGTGAAGGGGAAATGGGCCGATTCTTTTGAAATTTCACTACATTATCTTGTTTCACTACATTAGCTAAGTATTCAGCCTACAAAACTAAAGATCTTTTCACTTCTTCAATCGAATCCAATCGAAATTCTTGTTGCTCACATTCTCAATGATCGATCGGAATAAAGACGGTCTTGCCTAAAAAGAAGAGTATTATCTTTTTTTAAGATTTATTGAGAGCTATTATTAACTATATTACAGTAGTTTCAGACGCGCTTTAGATTAGAGGAACACACCCTCCTCGACCCAATTACTAAAACTTACGAATTCGACGCATCATTCAAATCATAGACAATCGGCTGACGAGCCGGGTGCCTGGCATCTTCAATATTTCTTGTCAAATTCAGCACAGTATTGTCGACAGTTGGCTCTTGTGGTTTTTCTTCGTATGATGTAGATGCATCACTAAAATAACACTTTTAATATAATGTATTCACAACTATTCTACTGAATAGCCTAAATCAACTTACACTGTTTCAGAAACTTTCTTCAACGCAAATTTTTCAGTCTTCGGAAGCTGGTCATTCAACTGTTCGATCGCCTCACGAATCCGCCCGAAATCACTAAAAAGAGGAAAATTATTACCTAAAAAGAAGCGCTCCATTAAAATTTCATAGCAACAAATCATAACCCTCGAGCCGTTGCGATCACTTTGCCTATCAATGCGTCCAACGATTCCTCGACTTGTGGTGATTCAATCACTTTGGCACTCAACGCGTCCAACGATTGAGTGGATGATTTTGACGGTCCGTCCACATCGAGCAATGTTGACGATCCAGAAGTTGATAACAAGTTGGAATTCTAAAACGTTTTTAGCATCGATCTTGTAGAAGTCTCCCACCTCAGTTATTGTGTTTCGCTCTGTAGTATCATCTTCAGTCCGAAAATCGGCACGTGATCGTTTGATTCTGTCGATCGTATCCTAAAACAACACAATTAGATCTGATTAACAAAGTCAACAATGCTTTAGTGGTAAAATTTCCTCACATCATCAGACGGTGACCCCAAGTAACTCCTGCTTCGATTGGCTCGCTGTCTCACCTGCTCCGATACCGGGATCTGCCCTTCACGCTGAGTTGGCCAACGCTAAAAGAAACTTTTTATATTCATCAATCCTGAAAACTAACATTCTCCATTCAGAACATTCAGGCTGGCCAAGTTTATGCAAGCTTAAGGGTATTTTGGGACTGCCAAAATGGACTTCCCACCCGGCGTGGTTATTAATCGGGGACACCTTAAACCCTTTATGGGTCATCTATAATAGAATATGGCCCCGGGGCAAACATTCTTGTTCCATCAACTACAGAGAACTCGACGTTTGATTCAAAGTTCACTAGATTCCCCTTTATATTCATTAAATTTGACTTCGACCCCCAGCGGGGCTTTAAATTTTGCTAACTGATAAATCATACCTACGAGAATATGCATAAAATAGTATTTTGTGGGTGAAGCGCAGAAGGGCGCAATGAAATAAGGCTTTCGGAGTGAAACACAAAATGTTATTCTCTGTATTTTTTAAAATTTATACTTCGTCACTAGGCGAGCCCGAGTAGTTTCTATTCCTCCGACGTTTCCGCTCGCGTTCTTTGGATTGTCGCACAATATCGGTGTCGGCGTCTGGCGCGGGAAGCCTCATGTGATCATCGTTCTCCCCTTCGGCAATCGATGAATGCTTCCTTCCCGTGGACCTAAACTTTTAGATTAGCAATGTTTATGGAAAGGTATGGTCTTACAAGTTGACTAAAACATTTAGAGACCTTACACCAACGTTGTACTAGAGTTGACTTGACCGGTTAACGAAACTCTTCAAATAACAGATAGCCTGGAGTTTTTCTATCACATTCTTACTCAACTACAGCTGACAAATGCTCGACTACAGATATAACAACACAACTACTAGATAAAGACTTCAAATGCCTTACTTTCTCTTTGATTTCCTCTTCCTTGTTTGGTGTGTGGGTGTGACAGGGGCGTTTTTATGCGGCGAGCGTGATGATCCTTGCATTTGAGAGTCGCCTCGTTGCGCCAAAATCTCGTTGGTCCTCTGCTGGCCCTCATCATCCGAAGAGAGTATAATTTCCTCATTGGGCACCGCTCGACCCGATTCAGAAAAAAGCTCGACTCTTTGCGTAGTCGGTGAAGGTCGAGTTAAACGTGATGTACTCGGCAACATCGATGAATTATCAGCAAGCATATTCTAAACCCTTAACATTACGCGTAACTTCGTCAAAATACACCTGTAAAACGTCTGCCAAATTTCGAGGAGCTTCTCGAGGTTTATTAAGCAAGATCCCAAAGCGATCAAAGGCGGGTAATTGTAGAAGCGAATGGTGCGTTTGAATTCGGATACCCTAAAAAAGACAGATTACGAGAGTATGTAACTGAATATGGCTTATGTGATCTTCAGAATAAAGATCTTTGGTTAACTCATTAGAATTAGCTAGAATCAGTTACTTTATGCAAAGTCAAACTTCAAGCTCAAGGGTTCATGCTATGTAATTTTGTAATGCCAAACTTAATTGTCTCTCATTTACTAACAAACATCTCTGTTTGGTGAAAGAAATGGAAGATTAGAAGTGTAATCACTGTATTATTTGAGTACTACTGGTATTCAGTAATCAACCCGGATGGCTAACTTTTTTAAGACGATCAATGGTACTTTTTGCGTTCCCGGAATAATATGCCGTTTTTCAAGAACCGTCACATCCTTGGTACCTCAGTGTTCGCCGTAGAGGCAGGAGTAGGTACAAGGATTCGGCATTCCGAAAACATGTAGATATCGGCGTCTTCCTCTTCCTCGGAGTCCGTGTGTCCCGGTTGAAAGCGTTGAGCCCAAAATGAGTGCTATTAGTTGGACTGATGGGTTCTGAGACTTTGTGAGTTCGGTACTTATACATTACATGACCGATTTACCCGAAATTAGTCCAAATCCAGCCACTTACTTGTTGTTGCCTAATCAAATAGTTCGAGTACTCGGTTGATCGATTTGGTTGTCCCTCGTCCACAATCTGTACATCGTTATCAATCGGGACGTAATCTAAAACGAATCTTTGTGCGATTTGAATACCAAAAACCAACCATCAATTTGAATGACTTCTTGCTGACCTCGAGCTGCATCTTGAGAAGATTCACGGCTTCTAAAAGCAATATTAGAAAAGATCACCACAATACGTGCAAACCTATAGCGACTATTCTGGAGAAACGTGTTCATCGAGTATTGTGAAGAGGCGAAATCGAAGAACTCGTTGCAAAACGTATCCAAATACTCGCGCGATTCCCGAAAAGTTAGGCGACAAGCTTTCTAAATTTCGTTGTAAGCATTTTACATTTTATTTCATTTGGATTTTTTTCGTAATCTGACAAAAATCAAGTTCTTTCAAAGCTCACTTCAAATTCGGGAGCGTGAATGTATCCTTGTTGTGTGGCTTGCAAAATGTACTCAATTTTTCCCTCAAAATTGTCAATTTGGTCGACTGGCTAAAAGTTAAACGGTAAAAAGTACACCACGGCAAATAACAAACCCGATTCAGAAAAATCGGTATCTCTTTGCGTAGCCAATTCCGTAGTCGGTGAGGGTCAGCGGCGAGCTCTTCTCGAGCCATCTAAATAAAAAAGTTAGCATCTTACCTTGTCCCCATAGGACTCTTGATTTTATTAGACAGAATGGCGTTAAAATCACGGATCAGAAATCTTTCGTGCTAAGCAAACCTGTGGAGTAAAGCTCCGTCTTTGCTCGTTTTCAAATAAGTCCTCGCGTTTCAAATGATGGTCATAGATCATACCACGGAAATATGGATTTTTATTAAGTTCCAGCCTGAAATAGTTGCATTTTCACTTGTTAAATTCCACTTACTTACCTAGTAATAGACCCATTCACGCACGCTTCCTCAAGGCTTTTCGCCATGTTGATGGCTTGTACTAACTAACACGAGAAACTAATATTAATGTCATTAAAACAAACCCTTTGTCTATTTTTCTCCCTCTCTTTGAATATTTTTTCATCCCGTCGAGATACGTTTCGCAGCTTTTTTCTTTCACTAAGGTACGAATTGATAAGCCCATGTGCAGGAAACCAACTTTTCCATAGCTAGATCATTTGTGTTGAGCCTTGTGTTTAGATAACGGTAGTATTTGTGAAGCAGTTGTTTCTCCACATCAAGAGGCACTTTCTAAAAAGTAACTACATTACAATTTTTGTTGTCAAATTCACCTCGGACTCCTCTTTGATCTTTTCTTTCAGAAATTCCTTTTTCAGCTCGGTAAGGGGTTCACTAAAGTAAATTGTACTATGATAGCATTGTGTCAAACAAACTCACATTATGCCATCTCCGCTGTTCTGCGAGAGTCGGTGGCGAATGAAAGTTGACGAAGTTCCACAAAGAGGGCAGTTCGGATTATTCTTGTACCATCTAAAGTCAGTTTTTACATAACCATCAAGCTATAACTGACCTTCGCAAACAGGTGAAGCAAAACTTGTGCCCCGGATTGTTCCCACAGCCTCCGGGAATCGAGGGATCAGCGATCTCACTAAAAACTCAAATTTAGACACGTCAACACAGTTCATTAGTTAAAAAGCTGGTGCTATAGTATTTGGGGGGGAGGGGGCAAAAAATTTTTTCGCCAAATGAGCTGGATTTTTGCACCCAGGGTTTTTTGACCATGCTGAATCGATTGGTAATGGTTCCACACAACATTTCGCAACTTTTAACAAAGCTCATAACAAATAGGAACACAAATATTTTGCAATTTTGCAAGCAACACAATACCAAAAACCTAATGTACTTATTTTGGGATGAAGTGGCCAAAAAGTACCCGTTTTCTTGAGTCATGTCCTCGTTGATAACTTGTTGACATTTTGTTGTTGTTATTTTTGTTCCTATTTATTATGAGCGTTGCTAAAAGTTGCGAAATGTTGTGTGAAACCATCACCAATCGATTCAGGATAGTCAAAAACCCCCGAGCGCAAAAAATTAGGTCATTTGGCGAAAAAATCTTGCCCCCCAACTACTATAGCCCCAAAAAAGCTAGCTTTACTAGACCCTTTACGTTATGTCAAAAAAAGACAAGATTCGATATAATTTCTATACGCTAACTTTACGAAAATCACTGTTTTAACTAAGTATCCAGTAAAAAATTTCCAAAAACCTTTTATACGCAGAGACAAATATTTGAGACAAAACCCTAGCTTAGCTAAAAACTCTTCAAATATCAAGCAAAAACCTCACAAAGTTAGACAAATCGGGCATTTGTCCCTCGTTTCACTCTCGTGGCCATTCTCTGACATCTAAAAATAAAATTATAAAGATTGAAAAACTAAAAAAAAAAACATTAAAAAGCTGAAAAATTCATGACAACACAAGATTGTTTGGGTTTTTGCTCAAAAATGAATAACGAAATTTTTCACTTTACTTGTATTTCTCGAAGCTACGCGTGACGCCAATGGCAAAAGGGATTTCCGCGCGTAATCGCTGAGAAAAACGTTTTCAAAACGGGTCTAACCTTGTTCTTGAGGTGATTCTCGGGTTTAGAAGATCTTTTTACCGCACAAACTCTTCAGAAAGAACACATTGTGAAATTTTAAACGATCAATTCTAGCTTAGCTTATATTTCAAAAGATGCGCAAAATTTTTTTGCTATCGATAGGTATTTTTAACTTCTAGAACTACTTATTAGCTTTTGAGAAAGGGATTAAAAACTGGGGGTAGGCTAATTTCCGCCATTCTATTTGCGCAAGTACGTTTGCGCAACTTTTTTGACGTTTTTAAGGGACTAGCGCTAAAGCAGAGTGGTGCGCTTTCTAAAGCGTTGAAGGTTTGCTAGAATCCGCATCCATCGCATACTGCGGCCAGACTTTAGGAAGAAATGACGCAAATAATCAACCGTTTCAAGCTTTCATCGGCTATCAATCTCACTGTTAGACAAACTACGCACGGAAGAAAACTGTATTGGCTCGACAAAAGCAACGTTTTACTGCTACTTCTAATGGTCGCTTGCCCGGTTGCGATTTTGTGCAACATCTTTCTCAGCTTTTGACTTATAATAAAAAAATTTGATTTTTATTGTTTTCCTAAATTTCATTGCTATTCTTATCCTAACTTTCATTGTTATCGGTTGCACTTTTTTGTTAAAGCAATAAAATATTTTACTAATGGTTATTAGCTCCTAGGAAGGACTAATTTAGATAAATATTGGAAGATTGCGCAAAAAATTGGAAGATTTCATAAAAAAAATAGCAGAACATTAAAAAAACAATAAAAAAAGCTCAAAAATGAAAATAATGATTAAAAACCCGAGTGCTTAATACAGTGTTAAAGTTGCGCAAATGACCCTTGTTGCGCAAACGTACCTGCGCAAATGACCCTGTTGCGCAAATAAAATGGCGGAAATTAGCCCACCCCAAAAACTGAAAATCCAGAGGGAACACTCGAAAAATATACTTGAACTTAACTCCATTGAAATTCAAATTTTCGTTTGATTAACTGAATATCTAAAATTGAACGATCAACCCTATCATTTGAGCTCAAAAATATCATTTGTGTCGTTTGTCATTTTCAGCTCTTTCCGTTGCAGTTCTGTATTTTTGTCGTTTTCTTGTCTCTTTTCAGCTTTAAACCACTTAAATACAATATATTTTTTAGAAAATGCGTCGTGGACGAAAAGTAGACGATGATCCATTTCCCGAGGCGCGCGAGATGAACATCAACCGAACCGCTTTTGACTCGTTGCCCTACCCAGATGGCTCGCTGAAAACTATCGAATTCACGCAGTTCTTGTGGGTTTTTTAATAACTTGCCTTAATTGAATTGTTAAAAGGTTCAATAACGTGATTGCAAAGGTTGTATTTGATAAATTCAAAATGTCCACGTATTGAAACCTTTTAAAGCCCTTAATCAAGTTGTTATAAAGTCAAGAAGAGCTGTTGGGCCGGTTGACTGATACAGTGTCACTGGTACTCAATCATAGTTGTTACTAGCTCATGAAAATTATTACTAACCCAAGCCTAATAGCTAATTCAGTAGTAAAAAGACAAGCTAAACATTTCATTATTTAGGACCTTCAACCACGTTTTCATGGAAGCGGGCCCGAACCTCAACGTTCTGATTGGACCGAACGGCTCCGGAAAAAGCAGCATCATTTGTGGAATTTGTTTGGCGATGGGCGGCCGTCCGGAGGTGTGTTAAATGAAAGTTTTTGCATGTGCCATAGCTTTAAGTTGGCAGATAGCTAAACAAAACTTGACTACTTGGTGAAAACGTTCCTGTTTAGCTTCTCGGCCGCTCCGAGCGCTTTGCCGACTACATCAAACACAATGCGAGCCGGGGATTCGTGGAAGTTACAGTGTAAATTTATTGCTTTTCGCGTTCAGACTTCAACGGACTTCTTTAGCTCTGACAAGTCAAGGCCCAGTGGAGTGACTCGGTTTCGTATCGTCATCGATCGAAGTACTGAGAAGGGAAAGGTTGAGTACTTCATCGACGGAAAGCAAGCGACTCGTACAGCCGTTGCTCAGGCAGCCCATGATTACAATATTCAGGTACGATCAGAGATTGCCTACTCATAATACGCATAACAATGTTCGCTATTCAGATTGAGAATCCGTGCACATTCCTCGCTCAGGACAAAGTGAAAAGCTTCGCCGCACAGGATCCAAAGGAATTGCTCATCAATACACAAAAGGTTTGTGAGCATTCAACTTTAAGAGCTAACATTTATCAATTGTAGGCTGGTGATTTGACACTTTTGCGGATGCACGATGGGTTGAGAGAAGAGAAAGCACGCGAGAAAGATTTGAAGCTCGGTGTTCAGGAATATCAAAGTGCTTTGGAGGTATGTTTCTTAACTTCTTAACTAACGTGTATTTTCTATTTATTTAGAAAATTCAAAATGAGATCGTCGCACTTGAGCCAAAGGTCGAGTCGTACAAGAAACAGGAGTCGATGGTGGGACGCATTCAAGTGTTGCGGAGAAAGGCCGCAATTTTGGTAAGTGTTAAAGTATTTAGGCCAATTTAATCATTCATCTAGGCTTTCACAAAAGCGGAAGAAAAGTACGGAAAGGCGACTCAGGGAATAAACGAACTGAAGAAGAAAGTTGTCAAAATCAATGAAGAGCTCGAGGTTAGTTTAATGGCTCGAGATCTAATTTTGCATGTTGGCATGCCTAGACTTGTAACAAGGTCAATTCAAACTCTGAAATTGATTCCACAAAAAACTTATCTATCTTTTAGACCCACAAAAAGGAAGAGAAGAGGTTGGAAAAAAGCTATGGCGAGTATAAGGAAAGGCGTCGTGAAAACGTATTTATCCTAGCCCTTATCCAATTATTTTCAAATTTAGGAACAACAAATACGAGAGTCAGCGCAGAAGATGGAGGAGAATGAGGACCCGCGTTGGTACAATATACAAGTTGGAGTATCTTGCATTTTTTGTATTGAAAGTTTAGATGAGGGACATCACCGACAAGCTGAACCAAGAGAAGGGACGATTGAGAAGCTGGGAGCAGAAGTGTGTTTTTGTGATTCCTTTTTTAGGATAGCGTTTTGTTAGTTAAAGAAACTGCAAATGAGTTAAAGAATCTACTTTTTCCATTTTAGTTTGAACCAGATGCAAGCCGCGGTGACAAATGCTAAAGAGGCGCTGGAGAGTGCGCAGAGTGAACGAGACGCTTTGAAGGTTTGTTTGCTGGTGGAGATGGAACCGGAGTTGAAGTTTATAATAAAGTACTTACACTTCCAATCACCCTACACTCTAATTTAGCCACGTGAAGCTGAAGCTCGACAAAAGCAGCAGGATCTCCAGCGACGTTTTGCCGATATTGGAAGTCGTGAACAACAATTGGAGAACGCGATCTTCGAATCCAATGCACAAAGACGAAGTGAGCGGTTCTCAATTTCAAGAACTAAAGGCCTTAAAATAGACAGACATTAGACACTAGTTCAGTCATTAAACCCATTAAATATACTACGTTTAGAAGCCGGTGAGGTACAGGAAAGGAACGAGAATTTGTTACGCGAACGGCTCAACCAGTTGCCCAACCACGGACAAGCTCGTGATGCTTACATGTTTGTTCATGGTTTTTATTTTGCTTTATAAGGTGAATTTAGGTACTACAAACAGCATCGCAACGAATTCAGACGTCCGATTTATGTGCCTATGATTGATGTAAGTTAGCTTTCTTAGTAAACATTAGTCGAATGAGTTTTTCAGATTAAAATTCGTGGCGGGGACAACGAATTGACGCTATTATCGAACGTGTTGCAGGCTCGTGATGGAACTACATTCATCTTCGGATGCAAAGATGACGAATTGAAGCTCACCGAACGTTTTTCCAAAATCAACACTACTGTCGTGGATAACGCAATGGTGAGTGTTAACTTTCTAGACACCGTATTCTCTGCGATAGAATGTCTCTTATAACTAGCAAGTAGCCGTCCATTATTTTCAGTTAGACCGTGTGCTTTCAAAGCTGACCGAATTCGAGATCCCCGAAGAGGCGCGTCAAATCGGAATTCTCGGCACAATGTTGGACGTGATTGAGTGTAACGAAGTGATTCGCGTCTTCTTAGCTCAGGGTTGCTCGGTGAGGTTTTGGGAAAACGTTATCGAATATGTTGGTGTCGACTAAAAACTAAAAACAAGTGTCATATCTTGAGACACTTAAGTATAAAATGGGATCTGATTTCTCTTATTGTTCCTTTTCAGTGGACCAAACTTTTGCGGGGTGAGCGGACAATCGATAAAAACTACGCGGAGGTTGCAGATCGTTTGAAGCAATGGAAATCACAAGGTTCCATCTTCACAAGTCACAATCAGGCGAGTTTAAAGTTTGATGATGAAAACTATTCATTTCTAGATCACATGGTCAGTGTCGCAATACTCGAGAGAGGTGCTCGTTGAACAGAGACCGTTGTCATGTGAAAGAAAACGTTTCTACGTGGCCAACTTGAAGGATTACGAGAAAATCGACCCGGACCTGGCAAAGAAGTAAGAATTTATGGGATTTAGTCATGAAAACTAGCCAAGTCACTGCACTCAATTAGTTATTATAAAAAGGCAAAGGTCTGTATTTTATGTTGTACAAATTTTTACATTTAAGATATGAGACACAACGGCACAACTTCGAGCAGCGCCGACAAGAGTTGCAGCGAGAGAAGAGTGAAATCACCGCCGAGCGCGCAAAAATTCACAGCGATTTGGTGAGGGTTTAGTTGTTTTTGTTTTATTTCAGTCGAATAATGGAACGGGCTCGACATAAAGTTCGAACCCATTGAATGGTTAGTAATGGTTTATATTTAGCAAGACTTCTACAAGAAGACCGAAGTATGTCGTCATGGCGAAAGAATTTACAGGGACAAACAGGCAGAGTTAGTTTCTTCGAAAGGATAAAACTGAATTTTTTTTGTTTAGATTTGCGGCCCACCAAGCAGACAAGCCGAACGTGGAACGTGTTGAACGAGATTTCCAGGACCGCAAAAAAAGGACGCTCAACGAGTCACTGCATCGGGCTGATCGAGTGTTTGAGGCAAAGGTCTGATTTTAACGCTATGAAAAGCCCAGCTAAATTGTTCGATTGTTTAAGTTAAGTATTACCGCGATTCCTAAAAAGAACGAAAGTACGTTTAGCATTTGCATTTCCACGCGTCGCTTTGCTACGAAACGCTGTGTCAGGCAGTTAATGGCGCTCGAGATAAACGCTTCGAGCTTGACGGCTTGACTCGAATTGCTCAACAGAAATTCAATGAAGCGAAGGTGAGCTAAATGGTTTGGTTTATTAGTGCAAACTAAATCTTTCCAAGATAATTTACTGCATGTATGGACTTAGTGATACTTTTATGTTCGATTTTAGAACGAACTGAAGGACAAAGAGCAACAAATCAAACAAGAAACCGCGGAGTACGAGGAAGCCAAGTAAGCGTTTGCTCCTATGAAAGTCATTTCTCTAATTTTAGGGTCCTCTTAAAGCGACTTGTCAAACTGGAGACGCTAACGAAAAATAAGTTGAGCAAGGCGGAGCTACTGCATCTGAAGGAAATAGAGCAGGTTTGCTTACCAAATTTATTTATTTTAGTTAGGCAGTACTGATACTATTAAGACCATAATAAATTTGAGGAAGCACACTTTAGCGAGTTGTTTCAGGATTTCGAAGAATACAAAATCCCGAAAGATGCTGATGAAGTTGAGCGTTTGATCGTTGACGAGGAGACACGAGTTCAACTTGTTCAGGGCGGCGGCGTAGGGACAACTCATGTACGTTTGTTAATTGTGATTATCTACTTGCTTTCTTTCAGGACCTCACGCGTCTCGAGCAATTGAAGCGACAAATGGCCCAAAACGAGCTGAGGAAGGCGACCGCCACGGAGACTTTCAAGGAATACGAGGCAAAGCTCGGTGAAGCGATTGACAAGTGAGTTAATACGCACAAAAAGTTAATCAGTTTATCATAAAAATGCAAAACACAATAAGAAACCATCATTCTACTGTAGCTCATTGATTGGCCGTTCCGTGGATGATCGACTTGACTTTTTCTTCGAAGTCGTGCAGGGCGGTTTTAACGGAGGCGTCGGTATTCGAGTTGCGCAACTCGTGCAACTGAAATTGAGTAGTTAGTAAGAGTTAGAGCAGATTTTGTTTCATAGATCATTTTAAAGCTAGGGATCCACTCCACTAACTTTGCCCATTTTCTCCTTCGGTGTCATCGTGTCGTTGCGCATGATGCTTTGCGCCTCAGTGGCCAGCTTGCCAGCTTCCGGGTTCGTTTGTTGAAGTTGAGCTATTTCCTAGTACCTTTTGAAATCTAACTTTCCTTCATTTAAAACCTGATTGATGGCGGTCATCTGAGCGTCGGTTGGCTTCTTGAATTCGTGGTGTTGCTGAGTGGTGTCCTGTCGCTTGCGACGGTTAACGGTTTTCTAAATTGAGCTCTGCTAATTAAATCTCTTGTAATCTATTCCTGGTTTAGGTTTTAAAGATATGGTTTTGTATTGCAGCCGTAAACCTCAAAAAGTATGCGTTTCTGAAAGTTTACCTCAGCCATCTCTCTCGCTTGCTTAAGTGTCTCGCCCATATTCGGGTCGGCTTCCAACGCGCTGCTCACGTCCTTGTCAAACTTCTCGATTTCGGCCTTCAGCGTCGGGTTGCTCTCGAGTTCGCTTCGGATTTGATCAACCTACAATGATTTATTTAAGCTACCGTAATCTCAATGAATACTGTAAGATTGTTAAGGTTACCTCTGCTTCGACTTGCTCCTTGTTCAGCGCACCATTCTCGCCCTTGTTTTTCTCGAAGGCCTCCTTGACTCGGTTGACGAAAGTTTTCGCGTCGGGACTCAACGCGTTTTCTTCCTAAATGTTTTCACATTCAAATTTAAAGTTGTATACACTTATAAAAACACAAAAAACACTACAAAGTTCTAGTACGCCAAAAAGTATGCAACAGAGCACCTGAGCGATTTTCTGCTTGGTCTCCTCGGTGATCTCGGGTTCCGTCGGGGCTTGAGCGGCAACGATTGGCAAAAGAAGTGCAATCACAAATAGAGATTTCATTTTTTCAGATTGAACAAAGTTGTGATCTGATTCTCGGTATTGCCGAGAAGAGTGATTTCATACCCCACTTTATTCCCTCAATTGGATCGGGGTCAAAACTGGTTCCTGGGACAATTAACTCCTGATTCACCCCCAATTTGCTAGGTGTTTATGATGGAATTTGGTTTTAAATGTAGACGAAAACAAAGCTTTATTGATTTATTGAGATTTAGGGAAGATATTTTTTTTGCAAAAGTTTAGTTATGAATTTAATTAATCGCGCAAAAACGGCTTGTCTTGAGCTTTGTTTTTTGTATAACCATAGTACAATGTCTGGCGGATAATTGGTCTCGGTCGATTGCGCGCACAAATCGTTCTGTGCCGCACTCGATTGGGTTTTTGCCGAGTTCACGGTCAACTTTATCCCCAGTCAATCATTTGGAGAATTTTTTAAAAGCATTGAGTCATCATTGAAACGGATTTTAGTAAACAGATTTGGTCTTTGGAGCATATTTTTGGTAACTTTAGTGGAAATGTTCTGACGCAACTTATCACAAAATTTATTAATTTAGCTTTAAGTCTAGTTGGATGGCACGAGGCCAATGATTTTCATCTGTGCATCCTCAAGAGCCTCCTGATCGGCGGCTGAGACGCGGGCGGCGGCTTGTTTGATCTGAAAGTGGGAAAATGTTTAGCAATAGTGACTTAAAGCCTACAAAAACTTTACCCCAAACATCATTACTACAAGAAAACTCTAATTGAGTGATTTTGATGTTGAGATGAAAACTTGGAGTTCGTTTAGAGGTTAACTAACAATCTCACATATCTTGTCTATTCAGGGTTAAAACTGTCTTGGCAGCTAGTCCCCAAAAATTCTGCCTCTGTATTGATTTACTAACATCTTTTTAGCTTCTAGACGGATTAGAATGGCTGCAAGACTCGCTTCTAATACGAGAGTTTCACTCACCAGTATATGCCTTTGATCAGCTGAAGCTTGATTGTTGATTGTGTCACGGATCTGCTGACATGCGGATTGAGCGGTAGTTGGTAGTGAAGAGCAAATCTAAAGGGTTGCAAATTCGACTTGTTTTGCAATCAAGCCTACTTCGTCAATCTTTGCCAATGTGGCCGCATCGATTCGGCCAGTTGTGGCCGTCGTTGTCACCGTGACGTCGGCTCGTTTGGCTTTGCGAACAACCTAGGATAGAAATTGGAAAGTTAGGTCAAAGTAAAAGTCTTTTGTTTTGAACGGTCTTCTGCCTAATAACAACTTGAAATGGTTGTTATAGCAGATTCACTTACTGTAACCTTAATTGCCCTAAAACTTGCAAGTTCTCCAAGCGGAACGGCCAACAAAGCGCCGATGCAAAAGCACGAGAGAATAAAAATCGATTGCATCACTTCAAATAAAATCGAAACACCGACCCAACTAATGCAATAAACTGTTGAGCTGCGGAGTGGTTATGTTTGCGTGGGATTAAGCTCTCGTGTTGCCCATCGCTCACAAATCGTTTTTTTTTGGAGAGCCTGTTGGGCTTTGGTGAAAGGTTTATGCTCGAAAATTGGGCAAAGATTTCTGTATGTTTTGAATCAATGATCATTGATTCAAAAATCTGCAAGTTTTAAAGAACTATGCTTAGGGTATTTGTGATGTTTCTGTTTCCTAAAACGTGTCCTTTTTTTAGACCACCGTAACCTTGTCTCTACTTTACCCAATCTATCTACTTGTCTGTTTCTGTGATAGTTCACAAAGGAAATAAAAAGATACAAAAAAAGTAGACAAATTGGATAAAAATAGAGTACAGTAGAAAGAGACAGGTTTTCATATTTCTGATCATTCGTTCCAATTTTTCTGTTACAGATGGTGCGAGCCCTTAGAGGAACTGGTGAAGAAAATCTCGAAGAATTTCACGGAATTCTTTGCGCTCATGGATTGGCGCGGCGAGGTGTTACTGGAAAAGCCGGAGAATAAAGTAAGCTTTGAGTAAAATCTTAATTCTAAAATTTTTCTTTTTAGTTGGACATTGACAAGTACGGCATCGCAATTCATGTGGCATTCCGGGAAACTGAGCGACTTCGGCGTTTAGATGATAAGGTAAATTTTGAGTGAATTAGTAGTAAAAATGGTGAGATTAAAAATTAGATAAATTCGAGTGCAAAAAGTTCTATTTAGACTCAATCCGGTGGTGAGCGCTCAGTAGCGACGATGCTTTATCTACTCTCGTTGCAAGAACTCTGTCCGGTGCCTTTTCGCTGCGTGGATGAGATTAATCAAGGTGGGTTTGAGTAGTTTAAGGCTCAAAACTGTTCCAAATTCGTAATTCTTCTTTCAGGAATGGATCCAAGAAACGAGCGCAAAGTCTTCTCGCTGATCGTCGACACACTGGCCAGCGAAAGTCGTAATTTGGCGAAGACGCAATATTTCTTGTGAGTTTTTGGGTTTTTTTAAGTTAAGTGAGATCAGGATATGATATATTTCTTTTAGATTGACTCCTAAACTCTTGCGTGGGCTGAAATATGGTGAGAAGGTGGCCGTGCATCTCGTCCACAACAGTCCAACATTGCCACCCGATATCATGGTTGGTTTGAGTTTGATGTTAGTGCTAAAATGAAATAGGATGATGCGGAAATAAAACTTAACTGCAAACCGTAACTTTTTGCCAAAACATCATTTTTATCTACATGATCCGACAATAGCCATAAAGGTTTTCCTAGCACTTATTTCACCTCTTCATTTCAGGAATGGGAACATTCGGCCTTCATCCCGATCATGCCATTACTTCAGTAAACAGAATAGTGATTATTTTTGTTGTTCAATCGTTGCACATTTTATCTGAAACATTGTTGAAATTTTCCTGATTTGTTTGTCTTTTGATATCATCACGTACGAGTTTTGCTAGGGTTTTTTCTCGGGTTTGTTATTTTCTTGAGTTGTTTTTGTAAATTTGCATTTGATATCATATAGTTTTTCTAGAATTTTATCTTTCATTTGTTGTTGTTATTTTGAATTTATTTGTTTCAAGTAAATCGGTTTAGTTTCAAAATTGGCGTGAAATCCAATGCAAAGCTCAACTTTTATTGGGGGAACCCGTGTAGAAGAAGTTGTACAAATTGAAAAAAAGGAAATTGAGCATAGTGAGGGCTTACTATAGGATCCAGTAGTACAAATTTGAAGGTTGGATTTGCTAAAGAATAGTGTTAAATGCATTCTTTGGCTCTAGCAAAGCGCTTTCTAAAAGAGGATCCACAGAAGCGCCAGAACTTCAGGTCAGTTAGAATTAGACCACAAGTCAGATCCGGGCCAGGTACTTTTAGGACAGGCAGATTAGGCTAGGACCAGGGTAGGTCTAACCTGAGTACGGTAGTTTTTTAAGTGGGCGGACAAAGCCATCTAAAGAAGGTTTAAGTTTCAGTTTAGGAATGGTAAAAGACTACGACGGTATTTTTATAAGGGCACTGTTTAGGAAAGACTTCAACCAAAGAAAAAACAGACAGTCGTCTAAAATGACAGTAATCTACTCATTTGCCGAATCCACAGTCGAATTGCGATTCACGGCCACTTTTCGATACGTTTTATGCCTCCAACGGCCTTTGACCACTCTCGTCCATTGTACGATATTCTGGGTGCAGTATAGGGAAATGAAACAAAAGATCAAGAGCAAAAGGATTACGGTAACCGATAGAAGCACAAAGGTGCTTTTTGCAATTTCGCGGATTTGCGTGGAAGTGCGGACTTTTGGAGTGACAATCGTCGATGTTGTTGTCAGAATTGAGCTCTGCTGATAGACATCGATTGACTGCAAACCGGCGTGCAGGAGGAATGAGAGGAGATGTTGGCGAGAGCGGAGCACTTGACCGAGTAGCCACGACGGAGCGGTAGATCCTGGAAATTTTAGAGAATTTTCTTTCCTTTTGAGACTTTACAATCTTTCAGCTAAAAATTCTCAGATCAAAAGCCGGTTCAGAACTAAATAAAGCTTTTAAAGCCTAAAGGAATTGGGTTGGCTAAATTAGGCAAATTGAACACTGGCTAAATTGAGTAAAGAATTGATATGGAACCATATTAATTCCAATTGCCAATTCTAACTTCAATTCCAAGAAATATCTTAGGATTGATATGGTCTAAAAGCCCTTAGTGAACGCTTCCTCGAACCACCTGTTCTCCATTTATGAGTCTAATTGAAATGTTGGAAATTTGCATAGAGAATTAAATATAAAATTCCGTTTCCCGTAAAGGGAAATGTGAATCATAATGAGTGTCACCCATTTGCAATAATCCGCTCTTTCTTTTTCGAAAAATTTCCACATAAAACGCCAGGTGCACTTGGCTCTCTTTTGTGGCTCATTTCTTTCTCGAGATTCAGTCATTCATTCGTTCAATCCACTCAACAATGACAATACCGGTTTTGACAGTCAATTTCACTCAATTTCATTCAATTTCAATCACTCGAGAATGAGAAATTTCAATAGAAATTTGAATATGAAGACTTTGAATTGAATACAAACAACTTGACTCTTTAGTCTTTTTGCGGAAGAAGTAAGTGCACCAGAAAGGGGATGTTTGTAAGATTTGAGAGCGCTGGCGATTGGTTACAATGAAAAATTGAGAAAAATTTCCAAGAATCATTGGGAATAAAATGAAGACTTCTCGAGCTGATCCAGAAGCTGAGCAGTTTGAAAGAGTTTAGGTTGACAAGAAAATCCTTATCATTCCTATTACAATATCTCTAGAAACTCTGACCTGTAGAAGACAAATTGCCGTGCCGATTCTTCAGCAAAAGCACTCGAATCTCCGTGCTTTTCTTCTCGCATCCCCAATGACCGATCAGAATTTGCGACGAGGCGATTGGAAGCGATAAAGCGCAAGAGACGAATGAGGCGCATTCCTGTAATGAGGAAAGTAAATGAGATAAAAAATTATCATTTAATTACGGTTGTTAGACTTAGGAAAGCCTAGCCTAGCTCACTAGGGAAAGGCACGAACTTCCCGTGAGCTTTCATTTACGGATCACATACATCTTGCTAACAAGGGAAGGTCAACTGGGTAGGCTGGCCAAATGACATGCGCCATAGACCTATAGACGCTGAATTTCACGCTGAATCCTGATCTATCTTCTTTCCGTTTTTGCTAAGCGGCACTCTGCCAAAAGTTACAAGCCTGTAAAGTTTTGCATGGAATTTTAAAGATCATCGAGTTTGTCAGCAAATTTCCCAGGGAGATCAAAGAGCAGTGGTGGCCGAGTGGTAGTGGTGGTAAACTTGAAGGTAAATCGTCTCAGGTTCGACTCTGCAGTCTTTCTTTGCTTTTTTAGAGGTAATTTCAGATAGAAGCCTTTTTTAAAACTACTTCTCTTCTTTACTTTTAACTATTAGCATTGGTACTACGCCGGTTAGGGGGAAGCCACTTTTTTTTTTCTTCAGAACCACTTTTTCTGGGGTCATTTTATGCGTGGATTCGCAAAAAAACACAACGAGAGCTCGCGGAAATGCGTCTTAAACCGAGTTTCGGGGCTCCAAAGTGTGATGAGGGGATGATACGTAGGAAACTGGTCTAAAAATCGTCTACTCAAAAGATCAAAAGATTCAAAAACACTTCTTCTGGCATAATTTAATCTAGTGACCTAGTGACTAGTTTAACCAGTGGCATAATTTAACCATAATTTAACGTTTCTGATCAAATTGGAGCAAAATAAAAAAAAATTTTCCAAATTTTCCAAATTTCCATGTGGTCCCCCACATGAGTCAAAATCTCAAAAATATTTTTCCAATTCTTTTTTTGCCTCTACCAGTCAATTTAAGTTAGAAAATGAATATTTAGTGGTTAAAAATGGTTTTGCTTTTGAGTTTTCATCTAGTTTTTGCCCCTGAAAAGCGCCCCCAAAAGTCGATAGCATGTTCGCATTGTGGAAATTTTTTATTTTTTGCTTTGTTATCTTGAATAGTTACAAAGTAAAGTATTACATTTAAAGAAGAAAAAAGTAAAGACTAAGAGACGGACCCTCATTCTTATTACCGAAAGGCCGACACACTACTATCCACTCAACCATCGGTGCCTGTACTGACTGCGGTCATTCGGCCACTCGGTCAGCGCCCTTTAAAGCTTCAATTCAATTTTCTTCAATCCTTTAAAGCTTCGAAATTTCAATTCAAGCTTATTTGACAGATTTTGATTTCAGATTCTGAATCTTTATACTCGATTTAGTAAGATGTGTGTGATTCGGAGACGAAAGCTCACGAGAAAGCAAGAAGTTCGTGCCTTTCCCTAGTCAGTCAACCAGTCCGGAGACGCATGTCTAGTAAACAGTAATTCTCGAAATCGAAACACAAATCAATTAACCCTAACCAATAATCCGGCAAATTACAGTACATTGTCGTACACAAGTTGTCAATAATTACAGTACTTGAGGCTAAAGAACTCAATAAAAATGTGATAAAGATAAGAATTTGTGAGTCTCAAATTCAGCGGGGTTCAGTCATCGAAAAACTAGCCTAATAGTCGTCGGCTCATAAACGCCCCCTTTCTGGCATACTGCATGAGGACTAAGATGAAATAAGAATAGATAACAAAAGAAGAAAATACACACGTAAGTGCCACTAGCTTTGCCACTGCCGCTGGCTGATTAGGCAAGTTGAAACTTGCTCTTTGAATCCCCATATTCTTTGAGTTTCATGTTCTGAGCGTACTTTGGCCTTGCAAAAAGTGTGAACGCACCATTTCTGGCGCAATAGGATTTGTATTTGGTCAAGGGGAACGGAAAAATGAATCCCATTCTATCCCACCATCATTTTAAACCACTTGATTCAATTGAAAACCAGCACTAGTGGGATTTTATCACTTATCTTTTCAATAAACTTGAAACATTCATTTTTCTACCTCAAAAAAGTTGAACAAGTGAAATTTTTGGAAAACTTGAAGAAAATGATTGAAAAAACCATGTTCTAACTTTGTAGAACTTCAAAGTTAAGAGCTCAAAGGAATGTTTAAAGTTTTTAATTGTTTAAACCACGATTAAGTCAAGAGCAAAAAGCAAAACTCGCCTCATTCAACCATCCAGCCAATTTCTCCCCCAGCCGACTCGCGTTCACTTTCGAGCACTCGTCAAGACCCAATCTGAAACTAATGTTTCAAAGTTATGAAAGAGCTCAAAAGTTTTTGTAAAATAGTTTTCGATTCCAGATTTCACTTTTTATTCAGCTACCTTATCCACTCGAGTCCGGGGATCTCCTCGAATTGTTCCCAACATCTCGTGCATTCGCATTGCCATTCAGTGCCCTGAAATTCTAATTCTATCGAATTTTATATGTAAATTATTGAAATGAAATGCGAATTGATCACAATAGGTTCAAATACGATTTTTAGATTTCCTAACTTTTAAGCTATTTGTTTTGTACAATCACAAAATAGCTATTGGTTATTTGGTCACTTAATAAATAAATAAATAAATGAATAAACTTAATAAATCGAATGTAAAATGTAAATGGTAGTCATTTAAATGTTACTTTTATCCATTTTACCTCCGCAACAAACAATTGAATGATCAGGAGAAATATTCATGTTTCAAAATATCTCATGTATAAGTGAAATTTTCTGAATTAATTTGGCAATGGGGGAAACACCTAAAATAAAAAAGTATAAATAGGATAAAGTTAGTTAGTATAAAATATTAAATAAGTAGTAGATAAGTAGACATAGAGAAGTAAGTAGAGAAAATAAAGTATACCTGGCAACAGATAGAAGGAGAAGTATTCAAAATGTTATGTTTCAAAATTTCTAATGTATAAGTGAAATTTTATGAATTAATTTACTCCTTTTTTTTTCTTTGATATAGCAATTTCAAATTTTATTCGAATTTTCGTCACTTTTAGGTTAGTATTGTGAAATGTGGCTAAGCAAAAAGCAAGCACAAATCTTTTTTGCTTGTTTTCTGGTGCTTATGCTATTTTTTTGTAGTAGCTAGTGAGACTAAAGCAAAAATTCTAACAAGAGAAAAGCTTAGGTTTCAATTTTGAGGAAGTAGGGAAGTGAGAAAGTCTCAATAATTTTTCTTGAACCCCTGCAAGTTCTTCAGAGACCGGCTTTCATCGGGATTTTGTGCGTTTAAAAGTGCTACTTGGTTTTGGTTTTTAAGCCTCAAAGCTTTTTAAGCCTTTAAGTCAGTCAGTCGACCAACAGTGCTCAAATTTGGGTTTGCTTGATCAGACAAAATGATTCAAGTTTCAAAATATCGAATTGTTGAATTGATGTTTGTGATTTAGTGGGTTTTACGAGCTACGATTTAACGATTTAACGTACGAAAATGTAGGCAATTCCTCTAATCTTTACATGCGACAACGATTAGAGAAAGAGCTTTTAAAAGAGAAAAGTTTGATTTCAATTTTGCTCACTTAAAGCATTCTGGAAATCGGCTAATAATAAGTGTGCTTTGTGCTCTCCGCAAACCCCATAAACAACACCATTTCTGGCGCACTGGAATTCTTCCATTCTTCCATTCTTCCATGAAAGAAAAATGAAAGATCGAGTGCGCTAGGGAGGGGTGTTTGTGGGATTTTACTTTTCGGATTCATGGCTCTTATCCTGAGTTTTTGAATCGTTTTCTTTGCATTCACGAGTCCTATTTTATTTCATTCGATTGTCTGAAATGTTTTCTAGAAATAATAGTGAGGATTTGCTTCGAGTGCGCTATGGAGGGATTTTTGTGGAGATTTTCGTGTAAAGTCAAATGGTTTATGTCATTTATGCCTCTTTTACCTCTTTTTCTATCCTATTCACTCGCATTCCATGCCAGATTTTAATCTCACTTTCCCGCTCGCATTAGGTCGATTTTTTGGGGGGAAAGAGTCCATTCAACAAAATTCTTTGAGTTTGAAACAAAGAAAAAGGAATCCTTGTGGAAATAGGGGGGAAATGGTTTCGCTTTAGTGCAACATGAGCAATGACGATTAATTATCAAGTTCCTGCTATCATATCATAAATTTTGAAACAAAAGAATTTACACTTTAGAAATAAAATCTCGAGTTTTAATTTTACGATTTTGAACATTTTAAAAGTGATCATCGGGAGGTGTTGTGCTCTTTTCTGTCCTCAAACAACGCGTAAACAATCCCTTTCTAGCGCAGGCCATTTATGCTGACTATTTGGTGGAGTAGAAAGAAATTCAATGTGTCAAATGTTCAAATTTTTGGAAGTAGAGGCTAGGATTGGACAAGTACTAAACTAACTAAATGGTTTCGTCCAATTTTCTTTTTATTTTATTTGAAACACCATTTTCAAAACTCATTTGAAAAGCTGAAAACCTTTTTTTTTTACAAAAAACCAAATTATTTTGAGAGTTAATTTAGAGATTTTTGGATCTCTTTGTTCTTTTTGTTCTCTTTATTCTTTTTTTCTTGTTAATCCAAGCAAATCCTCACTATTATTTCTAGAAAATATTTCAACCAATCGAATGAAATTAAAAAAATGGGCTAAAAGGCAAAAGCTACGCAACTTAATGCTTTTCCGCAGTTTTTGCCTTTTAGCCCAAATTTGACGTGTCAGCGAGGTCTGATTTGTCGAAATTCGGAATCTACGCATACGATTCCCTTATATGGAAATAGGACTCGTGAATGCAAAGAAAACGTTTCAAAAAACTCAGGATAAGAGCCAATCCGAAAAGTAACAATAACCCAAGTCAAGGCCTTTACAGGATAAGATCTTGCATAGAAAGAGAGAGCGAAAAAGGATGACCCCCGGGTAATTGATGGGTTATTTGTGGATTGTGTGTGGGTATTTGCTCGGAAGCGGCCCTCTTTTTCTCTCTTTTCTTCAAGGGTCACCTTTGCACACAAAACACGCAAATATTGCCCACCAACTCTTAGACAAATCGCGTCAAGTACTTTGCTTTGGGTAAAGTTTCCTTTGAGTGCCGTGATTACTGTAACAGTTTACATACTCAAAGCCATTTTTTTAAGTTATAGAATTCTAAAAGGGCAATGGGCAAAAGTTAAAATCGAACTAATCGGAAACATTAGCGAAGCTAATCCAATTTTTACATGAACTTCTTTGAAACATGGCTTTTTTTTCTTTGGCTCTGGCTCTTGGTTTTGAATGGCTTTGAACATGGCTTTGAATGGTTCTGAGACTTTTCTTGGGTAATTGATGCATAATTCTTACCAAGTAAAAGCTCAAAAATTGATTGGCAACTTTTTTAAACCATTCAACTTGATATTTTTATAATAAAATTTCAAGATTTCATGTTTTAAAACTAAAAAGCTAGAATAATCAAGCTAGTTGGCGGCGTTGAACAATTGAGTCGTCTATCACACCGATTTTCACCCTATCTTCTTCATGGTAGAGCCTGCTGAATGTAGGTTCAACTGGATTGTTCTTTGACCCGGTTTTCTTAGCTATGACAAGCTCGACTCAGCAATGAAATGATTGCAAGCTGACACTCATGAAATGAAAAACTGATTACTGTAACTGTTCTTGAGTGAGCTCGAAAAATAGTAGACAGCTCTTTTTAAAAGACTTTTTAACTGATGATGCTACAATGATGATGGAAAGATTCCAGGGAAATTTCAAAGTTTCAGCTTGACCGACCAAAGAACTTAAAAGATTCTCTAGTCTAGCTACTCTCTCTACATTGATCTCTCTTGGATTAGCCGTAAAAGTCTTCTTTTCCCTAAACAAATACCATTTCCCCATTGAAAACAGCTGTTTGACATGAAGAAATGTCTCAGGAATCTCTCTTTTTTCGAAATTTTCTTTTTTCGCATTTATTGACTCGATTTTGAAAAGAAAAGAAAGAAAGGGAAAGATGAAAGACAGCTTTATGACACGGGGATCTGTCCAGCCCATCTGTGATCTGGGGAAAAGCATAAAAGTTAAGGAGATCCTCTTTAAATACTTTCGATACTATGTGTACAGCTTGAAGAAAAACTCGTATCGTATAATATTAAGGCCATTCTCTAAAGCTTATCCCCTTTCTCTTTCTACCGTCATCTTGTTTCTATTTCTTTATTCACTTTTTATATCTTTCGATATCCGAAATAAAGAAAAAGTGGTTAGAGATAAGATTACGGTAGAAAGGGAGAAAAGAGACAGATTTGAGAATCAATAAGTTTAGAGTTAGAAAAAACTAGTTTCAAAATAATTAAAGTAAAACTCTGGATAAGTTGAGTAATAACGAAGTGTTGACAGACGAATTAAGCTTTTAAATTTTAAAAACAAAGAGCTATTGTCATAATTCTAAACCCAAAAAATGTTCATAGTTTTCCTGAATTAGATAAATTAAAAGAAATATGTTTCAAAGGAGAGGTAAGAAGCGGATCGGTTACTTTAGCTCAGCTTGATCACGATCAGCTTTAGCTCAGCTTTAGCTCAGCTTTAGCTCAGCTTTAGCTCAGCTTTAGCTCAGCTTTAGCTCAGCTTTAGCTCAGCTTTAGCTCAGCTTTAGCTCAGCTCGATCACGTTCAGCTTTCGGTTTCTACAATGATTTACATCGAAAAATTTCTTTTCCCTTAAAAATCATTTTTGTTTTTCTAATGAAGTAGCTAATATAACACTTCGAACTTAAAGGGAAACTGATCTAAAGATCTAGAGGTCTAAAGATCAAAGCCAAAGCCAAAGTCTCAACAGAAACAAATCATATGCTGTTTTATACGAATCCTAATCGATTTTTTTTGAAATTTGAAGAAAATCTAGACTTGGATATAGAAATTGTGAACGAAAAATGTGAAGAAAAAGAGTTTCTCAACGGACCTCATTACAAACATTTCCACCAACGATCGGCCCGGCATCAACCATTAAAAGAAGCGAAAATAAAAGAAAATTTAGCATGTTTACATAGATATTGAATGTAAATGAATATATTAATGAGTTTTAAGTTCAAGAGTACTGTAGGTGAGTTGTCGTTTAGTTGAGTTGAGTAGATAAATATTTGATAAATAGGTATTTGGGATATATCAAATTTGATGAGATTTGACGAGAGATTTCGAGGGAAACTGGATTCCGGAATAGCTTTGGATCCTTCAGGGAAAGGTGGGGAAATGAGCCGGATAATAGGCGTGGAGAAAGGGAAGGGAAAGGAAGAGAAGGGAAGGGAAGGGGAAGGGAAGGGAAGGGGAGGGAAAGGAAGGGGCGGAGCTTGGCTATGGACTGAAGATTCACCCTCATCTAATCATCGACATTCAACAGAACATTTGGAAAGTCTCTCCTGTTTTGGGGGAGACAGAGTCATTTTTAAGCAAATCTTTACTTTTTCAAAATTCAAAGATCGCAGGAAAGAAAGAATGTTTCAAAATTAGGTGTAACGCAAGAACGATCAGAGCAACAATTCTCATCTTGGGGGAAGGTCTTATGCGCTATTTAGTAGAAATAGAAAAGACGTACCGTGCGGCGTTGCGTACAGCAATGATGTTCTTGGTGACGTGGTATATATCAGGCAGGGTTTGTGCGTACCCGTAAACAAAATCCTCAGAGAATGTCCGTTAAACAGGGTGCACAGCGCATAAGACCTCCTCCCAAGGCAGGGTTTGTGCGTACCCGTTCGTTCTTCAGAGAATGTCCGTTAAACAATGGTTCATAGCGCATAAGACCTGCCCCAAGATGACAACAAGTTTTCCCTGTGCCGTCTCAAAACCTTTTGTCATCTTGGGGGGAGGTTTTATGCGCTATGAATCCTGTTCTTCTAGTTTTTTTTTCGGTGATTTGTTGTGATTCAGTTTGTGAAAAATTTTGCAATAATTTGCATTAGAAATCTTCCTCTTTCTCGTCCTCTTCTGGCTGGCCGGATGGCTTCTGGAAAGCGAAAAGTGAGTAAGTGTAAGTAGCCGGAGCTCTCAGCTCTCAATGGAGCTCTGAATGGTTTCCTTCAGCAATGGTCCATCATATTCTCGGATCCATTCCAAATTCACCAAACAATATGGTGCCATTTTTTGCTTCTGCAATCGTTTCTTCGTAGTTCAAGAAATGTTGTGAGGGAAATCCCCTGGAGGTGCCGGTAGAGTCGCCGACTTCAATCGAGATGTCACCATCGTATTCAATGCAAGAAAAGCTACTGATTAAAGCATAATAATCTAAGAAAGGTCCTTTTCTAAGGGATGGATTGGATATCAAAATATAAAACGTCAAGGTTTCAGTTGTCAGTGTCAACGTCACGAAATCCAGGTGGTCAATCGAAATGAGACCTAGTCCTTGTTATGTTAAAGTTGTTAGAAGACCGAATACCCTGAGTTTTGAGCCTTTGAAGATATATAAGGCTATATGTGCATTTCCTTGAGAAAAATTGCGTGCTTTATCATTTCCTTTGCATAAGCAAGTTTGATAAGTTTTTTGTTGCAATTGTTGCAGTCAGCTTATCGTCTAGTCTTGCCTGGCTGACGGCAGAACTTTTTGGGTTCTTTATGTACCTGCAACCATTGCGAATCTTCGGATCAAAGCTTATTTGGATCGAATTTATAACGTAGACTCGATATTTAAATTCTGTCGAGCCGGTATAATTTTATGTTTATATTTATCTTTCTTTTTTTCAGCGATGCCTCTTTTCCATCACCGATCACGGATCCGAAGATCATCCAGGTGACGAACACGCACACCACCGAGACGATGTGTTGCCAGGTATACTTTATTTTCTCTACTTACTTCTCTATGTCGACTTATTTAATATTTTATACTAACTAACTTTATACTATTTATACTTTCTTATTTTAGGTGTTTCCGCCACTCCCCAAAGAATTAACTCACAAAATTTCACTTATACTTTGAATATTTTGAAACATGAGTATTTCTCTTGCTTATTCAATTGTTTTTCCGGAGGTAAAATCGATAAAAGTAACATTTAAATGACTGCCATTTACATTTTACATTCGATTTATTAAGTTTTTTATTTATTTATTAAGTGACCAAATGACCAATGCTATTTTGTGATTGTACAAAACAAATAGCTTAAAAGTTAGGAAATCTTTTCCTTTCCTCTTCAAATAATCCTCTCCAGAAATAGCAATCGATAACAGTCGACCCAAATCGTTCAAACAGATTTCCGAGATGAGAATGTCCGTTAAACAATGGTTCATAGCGCATAAGACCTGCCCCAAGATGACAACAAGTTTTCCCTGTGCCGTCTCAAAACCCTTTGTCATCTTTGGGGGAGGTCTTATGCGCTATGAATCCTGTCCTTCTAGTTCTTTTTTCGGTGATTTGTTGTGATTCGAAAAGTGAGTAAGTGAGAAAATTGGATTGGATAATTATGTTGAGTCATTTTTAAGCAAATCTTTACTTTTTCAAAATTCAAAGATTGCACGAAAGAAAGAATGTTTCAAAATTAGTGGTAAGGCAACAACGATTAGAGCAACAAACAGGTCTTCTTTTATTGGTTGTTGAGTCTTAAGAAGATTTTTGAGAGCGCAGAGTACAAAACAAAACGAATGGATACAGTAGAGTGAAACATTATGTCATTTGTGCTTTATTTATCAAGTGATAACTTGAAACATTTACTTTTTCATATTTACATTTACATTTCTTTTATTTCCCGGTCTCCTAAGCAGCTTTTGGACTTTTGAAATCTTGCTATTTCTATGTTATTTTACTTTACTTGGCTATGGAAAGGTCTACTCCCGCATCCTAAGTCGAAAAACTAATTTCCCAAGTCAGTTCATCTGATTTAACCGTGCCTGGCCCGGAAAAAGGTTCTCCGAGCACCACTAATCAAAAAAATCTCCTTTTCATGTATTTCATGCTTTAAAAATGAAAACTAAAACTAATGTTTCAAGCTTTTCAAAGTACGAGTGAGCTGTGGATTTTTAGTGTCATTAGGGAAACGTTTTGCCTCAGAGTTCACCCCTTTTTGAAGCTGAATTTGAATTAGTTTATTTTTGTAATAACTGCATCTTTAAAAGTACCCAAGTTTGCCATAAAAAAAGCCTGATTACATTGCTGCACATCTTCGATAGCCTCGAGATTCATGCGCTATTTGTCAGTTAGTTTCGCCTCAGCTTGAAACATTCATTTTTTTCATGATTCTTTTAAAACTTTGTTCAAAATTTGGGGTTACTTGGGCTACTTGGATATTTTTTGGATTTCTTTCTTGCAATCTTTTCGCTCAAAGATTTTAAAGAAGTAAAGATTTGCTTAAGAATGAGCTTAAGAATGAGCTTAAGAATGAGCTTAAGAATGAGCTTAAGAATGAGCTTAAGAATGACTATGTCGTAAAACAGGAGTTCTGTTGAATGTGAAATCGAAAAATAGTGAAAAAATCTACTTTTTTTTCTATTGAAACGCCAAAAGTGTCCTTCTCCGGAAGACCAGAGAATTTTCTTTTTATCGGTACGGTAAATGGATTGAATTTCAATTCAATTTCAATTTGCTCCCTTTAATCAGAATTTGCTTTTGAAATGAAAAGAAGATTACAGATTGTAGATTGTAGAAGATTTCGAGCAAGAAGCTTTGAAATTCAGGTTTAAAACTGTTCCGTGTACACACTTTGCCTGAAAAATTACGTAGCTCGGGCAATCAACTGTAGAGTTTCGCACTTGAGTAGTAAAAGTTGTGAATAAGCTATGGCAGCTTATTAGCTATGGAAGCGTGAATAAGCCATGGCAGCTTAGTTTGTGCAGTTGACGTTTTTCTTGTATCTAAAACGATCATTTAAACCAACGAAAAGGTATAAGATGATCACTTAAAGATTGTAGAAGATTTCGAGCAAATCTTCTACTAACAGAATCTTCTAAGAGAGCGATGAAAGAAGTTAATTGATCTAAAAAGAAGAGTTTCGCAAAGAAACTCCAGTCTCGAACTTCGGGGAAAAGTTTATGAATTTTTTTGTCGATTTTTTTTGGTCCTAGTTTCAGAGTCTATTTCAAAACTAGGTTCAATTACATGAGGACGATCCGTTGGACACCTGACGAGCTAGTTGGCTAGTTCGTGACGAGCTAGTTGGCTAGTTCGTAAGAGAAAATCAGTTAACAAAAAAGATTAAAACAAGGTAATAAGAAAAGTAATAGCAAAAATAGATTAAATTAAATAATTAAATAAAAAAAGTTTTAAAAGAAAAAAGAGAAAGGCACAGGAGGAGAAGAAAAGAAGAAAATCGCCAGCATTATGGATTTCAAAACTGAAAAAGAATCACTGTTGTCACACCAAATTGGCTCATAACTTTTTTCGTCTATTTCCGATTTCCGATTTGATTCAGTGGGAATTTAATCCTCAATTAAATGAGTAAAAATAATGAATGAATTGGATGAAGTTGTCTTTTAATAAAAAGTTATGAGCCATGTCTTTAAATATCTTTTTCTATCTTTTTCTATATCTTTCTATCTTTCTATCTTTCTATATTTTTCTATCTTTAACTACGAAGAAACGATTGGAGAAGCAAAAAAATGGCACCATATTGTTTGGTGAATTCGGAATGGATTCGAGAATTTGATGGACCATTGCTGAAGGAAACCATTCAGAGCTCCATTGAGAGCTGAGAGCTCCGGCTACTTACACTTACTCACTTTTCGCTTTCCAGAAGCCATCCGGCCAGCCAGAAGAGGACGAGAAAGAGGAAGATTTCTAATGCAAATTATTGCAAAATTTTTCACAAACTGAATCACAACAAATCACCGAAAAAAAACTAGAAGAACAGGATTCATAGCGCATAAAACCTCCCCCCAAGATGACAAAAGGTTTTGAGACGGCACAGGGAAAACTTGTTGTCATCTTGGGGCAGGTCTTATGCGCTATGAACCATTGTTTAACGGACATTCTCTGAAGAACGAACGGGTACGCACAAACCCTGCCTTGGGAGGAGGTCTTATGCGCTATGCACCCTGTTTAACGGACATTCTCATCTCGGAAAATTTAACGGACATTCTCTGAGGATTTTGTTTACGGGTACGCACAAACCCTGCCTGATATATATCACGTCACCAAGAACATCATTGCCATGCGTAACGCACGGTCTTTTCTATTTCTACTAAATAGCGCATAAGACCTTTCCCAAGATGATAATTGTTGCTCTAATCGTTGTTGCATTAGATCTAATTTTGAAACATTCTTTCTTTCGTGCAATCTTTGAATTTTGAAAAAGTAAAGATTTGCTTAAAAATGACTCAACATAATTATCCAATCCAATTTTCTCACTTACTCACTTTTCGAATCACAACAAATCACCGAAAAAAAACTAGAAGGACAGGATTCATAGCGCACAAGATGACAAAGGGTTTTGAGACGGCACAGGGAAAACTTGTTGTCATCTTGGGGGAGGTCTTCTGCGCTATGAACCATTGTTTAACGGACATTCTCATCTCGGAAATCTGTTTGAACGATTTGGGTCGACTGTTATCGATTGCTATTTCTGGAGAGGATTATTTGAAGAGGAAAGGAAAAGATTTCCTAACTTTGAAGCTATTTGTTTTGTACAATCACAAAATAGCTATTGGTCATTTGGTCACTTAATAAATAAATGAATAAACTTAATAAATCGAATGTAAAATGTAAATGGTAGTCATTTAAATGTTACTTTTATCGATTTTACCTCCTCAAAAACAATTGCATAATCAGGAGAAATATTCATGTTTCAAAATATTTGATGTATAAGTGAAATTTTGTGAGTTAATTCTTTGGGGAATGGCGGAAACGCCTAAAATAAGAAAATATAAATAGTATAAAGTTAGTTAGTATAAAATATTAAATAAGTAGTAGATAAGTCGACATAGAGAAGTAAGTAGAGAAAATAAAGTATACCTGGCAACACATCGTCTCGGTGGTGTGCGTGTTCGTCACCTGGATGAACTTCGGATCCGTGATCGGTGATGGAAAAGAGGCATCGCTGAAAAAAAGAAAGATAAATATAAACATAAAAGTATACCGGCTCCTTCATCCTTTCATTCATCCTTTCATTGTTCTTTTCATTCTTCGTCTTTCGTCTCATCTCTTGGGATGGGTGGTGAAAGTGAAAGGAAACGATAGCTTCATCTGCTTCGCAATCTGTGTTCTTACACGGGGTCAAAACAAATCCCTTTTCTATAACCAAATTTAATGAAGAATCTTTTAAAACCAAGCTCAAGTCGTTCTGATTATTGGAAGTCGAGTTATAGAGTAAAATAGAAAAGTTTCGAGACTCGTAACGGAATTTGGAAGTTCAACTTTGACACAAATTTTCTCTATGTTCTTATACATGAGTATATAAAACAAATTCTACTTTTCTATAACAAAATTTCATGAGGATTCTTTTAAAAGCAATCACAAGTCGATTCAATTTCTATACCTCGAGTTATAGACCGTTCAAGTCGATCAACTTTTGTAGGTAAGTAGTCCAACTTTGACACAAATTTTCTTTATGTTCTTAGACATGAGTATACAACATAGATTGTACTTTTCTTTAGTCAAATTTAATGAGGATTCTTTTAAAACCAACCGTAAGTCGATCCGATCACTGGGAGTCGAGTTATAGAGTAAAATAGAAAAAGTGCGCTAAAGTGCGATTTTGACATAAAGTATTTGAACATATTTATCGATATCGATAGTTACTTCAAGTTTATCCGAAACTTCATGACTGTGCAAAAGAGATTCTGATTGTTGTCATGGGTTCTTTGGTGATGAACGTGACTTTCCGATCTTGGCATCGTTTGATCACTCTTTGGAAGCCGGTCTTGATCACATTTCGATAGGGTTTGACTGTCCAGCACATCGCGATCACATTCACTGTAGAGTGTTCCGAGAAAATTGCCACCATCACCGATTTTAAAACTGAAAAAGAATGAGTTTTTTTTTTAAAAGAAACTATTTCCACTTGGACTTTTCACTCCCAAAAATCGAGGACTGCAAATAATTGCGACTATTAAGGGCACCAAGTACACAGAGAGGATCAGAGTGCACTGAAAACAAACTTTAAATCTTTAAATCAACTCTTTTCAATACTTAAATGTAAAGAATCTTTCACTGGAAAGTTTCTGAAATTTTGAAACTTTTTGTATTTTGAAATGATTTAAAGAATCACTTGTAAGTTTTGAAATGAAAAAGAAAAGATCACTTGTAAAATAAGTGCTCGAATGTAGTGTTGTTGAGCTTGAATCGTGCTCTTGCTCAGAGATGAAGTTGAGGCTTTCAGAACGACAATCGTTTTTATCGCAGCATAGCCAATTAGTAAACTCATTACGATTTTCTAGATGTTTTTTTAAGTCCAATTTTTACACTCTCAACTCACATCCAACAACCAGAAAAGAAGCAAAAACGTGAGATTGCTGATTGCTGAGGGGAGAGCCAACCAATTGGTGGCTGAGAGGAGTTGCGGGTTGTTGGGAAAGTGCTGAAGAATAGAAAACTATTTTTTTTGTTGCTCACTTACCGTGGCTACATAGCTCAATTGGGTTGATCGATCTAAACGAACCGACCACAAAACGAGGGCATTCAATATGGAAGGCATCACGTGGATGAAGACATGGCACTAAACAGGGAAATCACCTCAATCAACATCTAAAGCTTACAAAATACTGTCGCTTTTGGGTCTTTTGAAACCAGGATTTCTCGTTGAGATTCCACAAGCGATACAAGAAACAATCAACAATTGAAGCTTTCACATTCTCCACAACGGTTAGACAGAAGATCTATATTAAACTTTATACAATTGGAACTAAAGCAGATCAAAAAGTCATGCGCCGCCGGGACCCGAACTTGGGACCTTTCGGGCACCGGACCACTGTGCTAACCACTACACTACAACCGACTTGATCTCCCTCCTTCCAGCAGGAACTTAACTATACTCAAGAGTCAGAAATTGGTTTTTTAAAGAAAATTACGGTAAATTGGAAAGGCTACTAAATTTGTGACGAAAACAGATTATTAATTTCATTTTCATTACCATTTGAAGCCATGCCCACTCTGGTGGAGTGTTGGCGAAAAGACAGGACGTTGACCAGTACATTCCTTCCAAAGGGAACATGAAGCCCGGACAAAGAAACCAGTTCACAATCATGTCCAACAGAAATGACCACAACTGAAATTAGATAGTTGGAAATAGAGGAGATCAAAAACTTGTGCACCGCTGAGACTCGAAGCCGCGACTTTTCGCTTACTGGGCAACTGTGCTAACCAATAGACCACAAGGCAGTTGCCAACTGCCTTGTGGTCCCTTGCTCGAGAGAGAGTTAACTAGATAAACGCTTACTAAAATTTACCAAAACATTTAACAGATAATATTTGTAGTTTTGCATGTTTTTTGACGAGTGTTTCATGATGATCCAAATGCCAAAAACGTTGATGAGAATCGTCATGAAACCGCTGCACTTCCAGAAATGCTAGAAAAGAAAAAGTTTCAGTTTATTTATTCAGATTAGAGTGTTATCTCGGGAGTGGGACAAATGCGACCTTTTTTTGCGCACCCGGACATTTGCGCACCTTTTTTTCCGCACCTTGCCCATTAGCGCACCTTTTTTCCCTTTTTAAAAAAGCTCTAAAAAGCTAATATTAACGAATTTCTATTGCAAAAGTTGTTTTCTATTTTTTCTAGGTAATTTTAGGGCGTAGAATCGAAATTTTGACATGACAGAGCGTGTGGAACCAATTTGAAAGACAATTTGAAAGACAATTTGAAAGACAAAACGGCTAGATCAAATTTCTGTAATTTGTCGAGCCTTTTGTCTTTGTAATTGTCTTATGTCCGTTTGTTTCCACAAGCTCTGTTATGTCAAAATTTCGATTCTACGCCCTAAAATTACCTAGAAAAATAGAAAAACAACTTTTGCAATAGAAATTCGTTAATATTAGCTTTTTAGAGGTTTTTTAAAACGCAAAAAAAAGTTGCGCTAATGGGCAAGGTGCGGAAAAAAAAGGTGCGCAAATGTCCGGGTGCGCAAAAAAAAGGTCGCATTTGTCCCACTCCCGTTATCTCAAAAGCGAACTCAACCTGCAGCCACTCTGGATCTTTTATTTCGATGTAAGCATAATTGATTGACATCGTGAAAAACAAAAAAAATTTCTTAAAAGATTCAAAGTGAAATTTTAAAATCTTTGCAAAGCTTTTCCTTTCACTCATTTCTTTTGCCTCAATCCTATAATTATCTTTCATTTCTTTTATTTCTTTCATTTCTTTCACAAAAGTTACCCCATTTTTTGTACTTTTTCTATGAATCAATTCATATTTGACAATATTTTTGCATGCTTATTCAAAAATGAAACTTAGAATTAAATTTGAACTTTAAAGATCTCCTAATCATTTAGAAGATTCCTTTCACTTCCTTTTTATTAGACTGGCGAACAAATCTTTTCATTTTGACATATTTGACCTCAACGCAACAAAGGAAACGATTTATTCGCTACACAATGAATTGTTGACGCTGTTTTTGCTAGACTTTCCCTGATCAGCTTGCAACATTATTTTTTTCTATGGCTCTTCCAAAATCTCGGATAAATTTCCCCAAGTTAGCGTTTTAACCTTAACAATCTCTAAAGATAAACCGAATACGCGCGTTTACACGTTCTCGAGCGCACAAAGTACACAAAACTCTTATCGTATTACTGTAAATTTGTTCGCTATTGATCTTTTATTTTCCACATTGGATTTTACCGGCTCTTTCAGAATTTCGGATCAATTTCCCAAGTTCGTCTTTTTGCTTCAAGTCCTGCACTTTCCCTAAAACCTGTCATTTGAAAATCAATTTATACCAGAAAACTTTGTGTGTATACAACGTGAAAGTCAAAAAAAATAAAATAAAACACAGATAAAAAGAGCATCGGGTGTGTGTAAAAACCTATAAAAAAACGATCAATCATCATCAACACTTCTAAAAGCAAACAAAAGAACACCAGATGTGTGATAAATGTCCTGAAATCGACCAGTTTATGGGGAAAGAAGGTGAAAAATATATAAAATAACAAGAATAATTTTAACAAGATAATAATGACTACAAACAATGATACTATGTGGAAAATCCTAGAAAAAGGTTTGTTTTTGAGGGATTTTTGTTGAGAAGCCGACATAAGGAGACACGCGGGGATTTGGCCGGGAAAATGACGAGAGAAACATGTAACTAAAAGAAAATCGATAGACAAACCGTTAATCTGCCATTTTGCTTTCATTTGTTGTACCAAATAAACTCTGTAGCTAACCTTAAGTCTTAAATCTAATATTTAAGTCTAGTATTATCAAGGAAAAGAATTTCTTAAAATTCAAACATCAAGGTTGAACATCGTTTAATGGCTTCTTTCGGAATTTCAGAGTTTCATGGTCGGTAAAAACTCAAAAGTGAAAACCAAGTGAAACCTTTTTGGGATTACTCAAATTTGGCTTTGTTTTGGCCTGAAAATCGGCTCTTCGCTCAACTGCTCAACCCTGAAGATGTCCAGTTTTGATGTTTTTCCATAAGATGCCCTGGTCTCAAATTAATTCTCAACTTCAAGTCCATTTCCTTAAGACTTAAAACAAAAAAACTACCCACCAAAAGCTCGATCCAGCGAGCTCAAACACACGCACACAAAACCATTTCCCCTGTCCCTCATTGAGCGGTGGTTGAGATGGCTGATGGCGGTTGAATGGCCCTCTCCAATTTCTTCTGCAACTCGTCCACCATCGATTTCGTCTGTTGCGTCTGTATGGTCGACATGCGTGCCATCTTCTCGAGCGCCGCCGTGATCACTCGACGAAGTCCCTCCTGGAAATTAGGAAAATAACTTTAGCATACTAGTTTTATCAACTATTTTCGTGCAAGACCAACTAATTCTCGTTGAATTTGAATTACATTCTAAACTCCAGGATATCTAGAAATGCCTTATGACTCCAATCCTTGTCAGGGATTGCCAAGGTCTTGGGTTTAAAACTGATTACGTCAGGGATTCATATCTGTAAGTCTAATCTAGTTAAAAGATCTTAGATTCTGTTCTGTAAACTTTTTCGAAAACCCACCACCGTGTACCAATCATCCCGTTTAAGTAACTCGCGACTCGCGTAGAATGTTCCCTCACGATCGATGTCAATCCCCTTTAAGCATTCCTAAAGAATATTGTTATCAACGCTACCAACAAAGCAACTCACCAAATAGTCAAATTTCACGTAGTCGGCCAGCAAGAGGCACACCTCGGTGGGCAAATCAGTCAGAGCGGTGGCGTTGACGAGAAGCGCTTCCGCGGCGTGAACAACCATCTAAAAAGAACAATTGAGCAAATGTATGCTTGACTTAAAGCTTAACTGATAATGAGAACTCACCTGACAATTGGCATCATCAACGGATGAGAGCAAGTGACGCGCATTCTGGTACATCCACTCGGTGACGTGCTTTCCGTACTTCTAAGATCGAAATATAGATCAATTAATATTTATGTAAACATTTACAGTAGCCAACTTATTTGAAGGTGCGACTATTCCCCATTCACCTACCTTCTCAATTTGAACCACGTTTCCGTGTTGAGCAAACTTTGAATAGCAATTGAGAATGATGAGACGAGTCGCCAGTTTCATCTCGACACCCCGATCCAAGCAAGCGACGACATAGTCGCACATGTAGAAGAGACCTTTCTAAACTAGCATTATTGGTTCTTGTGGTTTTATACTGTACTTAAATTCACCTAGTACTGAAAAGTTCTATATTTACACCAAGTTTCGATATGTATTTGTCTCTAGTGTTGAACCTAGTCTACTTATCAAAACTTACATCCATCTGTTGAAGGCATTGAATCATTTCCTCGTCGCTCAGCCAGCGCTCTTCTTTCTTTGCCTCCACCTGGTCCATATACCTATAACAAATTCACTGTAGACAAAGTCGGACGACTAAAAACTCACCAAATTCCCTGCTCAATGACAAAGGCCCATTGCTCCAATGTTTCACAGTCGACCTGAGTCTAAAACGGTTTCGTTATCAACCGATTTTCCTGTCAACTCACAATATCCTCGTGCTTGTCCAATTCCCCGTAGATTTGAATTGAAGCAAACGTGAATATTGTCAACAACATCTCAAAACGGCGATCTGTCCACTCGAACAGGAACATCTTGACCATCCACTGGAAAAGAGGAAATGGTAAAACGAGAGTTTACAGTGATTGTGCAACTATTTTCCAACTCACCTTGACTTGTTGAGCGAGCTCGGTGTGAATGTAGCGCGGGAAGTGCGCCAAGTGTTCGGTCCTCATCAAGCGCTCCAGGAAAGCACTAAATGCAGAAGTTATCATCCATTCACCCGCTTAAACCCTACCTAGCAGTCTTCCAGCGTGGCGTCTTGTACTCGCACGGCTCATAGCCAATGAACATCGACTCGTATTTCCTAAAGTGAGCATTTAATGACAGTAGGATCTTAAACTATCATGTTAAAATCGCTAACTCAAGCTTTGTAATACTAACATCCTGTAAAACTTACCGAAAATAGTCAGTCAACGTGTGCATCTTCTCCTGTGACGGGATCTCCTCGACGTTGTTTGAGAGCTCGTCGAGCAACGCCGTCATCCGAGGTCGCATCCAATTCGACAGGCAGCTAAAGAAAAGGTATTTTTGAAAGTTTATGTTAATGATTACATTTTAGTATCATAATATTAATCTCCAAGCACTTTTAATGATATGACAGCGGTTCTACGTAGTCAAGATCACAATTTTTATCTTTTAATTTCTAATCCATTCGTGATTTGTTTAATTTAAGCTTTGCAAGTGCACTATGCCACTTTTTCAGCTCCATTTCTCACCGAATGATCATCTTCTTGCGATCGTCAATGTAGTCATTGTGCTCGTCCACCGACGAGTGCCAGCGGAATCTGGACAAAACTGAATTTAGTCTAAAAAGATTCGCTTACGTATCATATTGTCGCGGATCGATGATCACCGCAATCTCAGCAGCCAACGCGTTCAGAACCTCAGATTTCTAAAACACAAAAGCAAATCAATAAACGTTCAAAAGTTTACCAATTCAAACTCGCCGAAGAATTCGTTGATCATATGGCAGAGTGACATCAAGATGGCAATGTCCCTGAAAGAAGGAAACATTAAATGTACCTACTGTATTAGTGTTTGATTTAGCAAACTGTTTACAAACTAACCCAGCGTCCTTTGGATTCATTTGTTTGACCGCACCGACAATTTCTCCTGGAATCCCCTCGGCCACACGACGCACCTAAAACAGACAATTAGAAAGAATTCCAGAGTATTGCTCAAGTTATTTACCTCCTCTTCGTCATAGAAATCAATCTGTTTGTAGGCGGCGGCGAGCTTTCGAACCTTGAGCAGCGCCGAGGCCGAGTGATTCTTGAGGAATCTAAAATGGCACGTTACCGAATAGCTTAGATTGAAAGATTTGCCCCCTTCTAAAGTTTCAAAACGCAAAAGCCGGCCGTCAACCTGTCATACTTGGGGAGTCCGTTATGTTTTTCTTACAACTTCTACAAGATCCATCTCAAAACGTTGGCAAAGACCAATAAATGCTTAATTAGTGGGAAACCCTTAATAAACTGATTCTGAAGCATTTTTTCAATAGTTTATGAGATCTTCACAGTATTTTTTATCAGTTACTCTCGATTCAGACTCCGCTAAGACTAAATTATACCGTTTTCTAACGACAGCGTAAAAAAAAGGCCAAAATTCCAAACATTTAGCTTTCTACAATCAAAAACAACATATTTAACAACAATATCCCAATCAAAAACTTCAGCACTCACCGACAAAGGTCGTCCACCGAGTGCACAGTGATCGCCTCGAAAGCTGAGTTGACGCGCTCGTCGGCCGAGTTCGACTGCGAGTTCGACGCCTCCTGGACTACATCAATGCCGGCGCTCATTCCGCTGTAAATTTGCAAATTGAAACATGAAGGAAAAGCAAGACAAGGAACAAACAAAAGCATCGCATGACTAGCCAGCTTTTAGGCCAGTCTGTCTGCGGTTTTTCTCAAAAATAGCGCGCAAATTTCGTAAACAGATAAGAACATTGGCCTAAAAACTAGCATCTCTCAAAAAAAACTACGGTAAAAATTCGCAAAATTTTCAATTCTTCGAATCGTTTCGAAGAGAAAAACCAACTTTTCCCCAAATTTGTTCAGTTTTGTCATTAGAAAATAAATTTTTCTCGCAAAAACCTCCGTCTACCTCATTGTCGTCAGCATGTTTTCCGTCAAAAATTAGGCACACGAGATCACTTTGTACAGAAAATCCACACAAAATATCACAGGTTCTTTTTCCCCTCGATAGGAGAGTAGGAAGAAATTCGGGGCAGCAGGGGCAGCAGCCGAATCGGTCAATTGTTCTATGAGGGGAAAGGCCGGGCAAACGAAGCACAAAAAAAAAATAGTGTGGTTATCGCTGTGGTCTGTTGCTCTGTGTGTGCGGCGGTGAGCCGGCCGGGTGTTTGGGGGATTCGAGAAGGCGCAGGGGGAAACAGCGAGAGACACTGCGGAGACACACAGCCGCAAAAAGGCCGACTCCCACAGGGAGGCTGTCAGGACAAATGCCGAGGCAAGGAAAGCGCGTAAATTGGGCGTACAAAGGAGTACCGGGGAACACGAGAACAAGGCGCTTTCTGCAAGCAATGTAAAATGTTTTCTTGGGAATTTGTGAAAATTGAGGAGGAAAATAGTGGGACAAACTTTCTTGCTAATGTCCGGTTTTGATGTTTTGATGTGCTTTGTGTTTCCATTTGGAAAACAACAATGACAAGCTTCCAACGTACACAAACTAGCGCACTATTGAGTCGGTTTAATTAATTAAACGCATAACTTCCACAGATGTTTGCTAAAAAATATAAAATGCCACATGATAAAATCTAAAATGCATGTGTGAACAAAAAACAATTTATTAACGCACACGCACGCGGGGCGTCAATGTGTGGAAGGAAAAAAAAATGACAACTCGATATCAAAAAGGAAATTTTTCGCAGGGGTAACACTGTAAATGAAAAGAAGAAGGCGGACGCCTTTTTTCGCCAAAAATGTGGCACAGGACGGGGAGAATTTTCGCGATGTGTTTAAACGCTCACAAAAAAGAATCGCCGAGATCAAGTGATTTCTGAAAATTTTGCAAAACGAAACCATGTTTCGAGAGGGAATAGGGAATAACAAGAAAATTACCGGCAATCTACAAAATTCAAAGTATTCCAAGGTTTAGCAGAATTCAATGTCCCTTCAAATTTCATAAATTACCAAAATAGCTTCAAAGATTAACAAAGACAAAAAATTAACGAAAGAAAACATTAGCAACAGCAAATTACGGGAATTGGCGATAGACTTAAAGGCGGAATATTTCAAAAAACATGTAATAGTCACCAATTTAGGGCTGAGATTTTAATTTTCAAAGTAAAGCAAGTTAAGTGGGATTTTCAGAGGTTTTGCACACAAAATGACAAAATGTAAGGCTGACCAAGGGGGATTTCCGGTGATTGAGTTACATGTCAAGCAGCTTCGTTTTGTTGACACGGCGACCACTTCGACTAACGGCGATACCATGCTAAATATACAAAAATAAAACTACACTGTTACTGAACTTAAAATCTTGACATTCGGTAGCTTTTTAAAATTTGGTTACTTAGTAAAATTGCTCATTATATTTTAAAAAATTTACCATAGCTGGCGTGTAGTCGTAGGATTTCTCGACATTCTGGCTGCGACGCTGACGTTGCTTCTTTGCCTAAACGGCAATTTTAAAATGGTATGCTAAAAGCAATCTTGACAAAGTTGAGGTTCATTATAAGTAAGCCTAAACCCAAAAGTCAACAAAATTTACAGCCGATGAAGTATGTGGAGCGTCCGGTTGTGGTTCCTCTTCAGCAACATCTTCGCCCACCGGATCGACCACTTCAACGGGAGACGGCTCTTTTTCCGAGGCACGCTTGCGTCCACGTCTTTTAACATTTTCAGCTTGTTCCTGAAACAAAAAGTTTTAAAGTCTTACGGTTCTTAGTTTCCTTCAACATACCGGTTTTATCTCAGCCGATTGTGCCGGTTCCTCAATCAGAGACTCTTGAGTACGCTTTCGACGACGGCCGGCTCCGCTAATACTTGGTGTAGCCAATTTCTAAAGTGACCAGTGAATGATTAGTTGAACGATATCAAAATCGTACCTCACTAGCAGCAGCAATGGGAGCACTACGTTCGTTGCGTTTCCTAGGCGAGACCGTCACATCGACTTCGGGCATTTCCTTGATCATCTCATCGCCCTCTTGAATCCTTGAGCTAAGCATTAATCATAACATCCAAATCCATTAAACGTACATTTCGGCGTCAACTTGTAGAATCTCTTCTGTGAGCATTTCCTCGTATTCTTCGGCGATGATTTCTCCGGGCTAAACATTCGATATAATTACAATAAAGCCAGATTTTACTGTAATATAGCCTAAAAATTAGACAAAGCTCGATACCTCTTGCATCTGCTCCAAAGCTGGCGGCGCCTCTTCCAAATTCATTGGCTCCTTGTGAGTGGTTTGCTTCTAAACGAAAGCATTAACTTTTGATACGAAAGTTTAATCATTGGTTAAATGATCATCAAAGTTTTCTTTTGTATTATTAAGACGCACTTGAGGACTACGACGAGCGGCGACACGATGTGGTGGAGCGATGACTGGGTGTTGCATTTGCGGAACCATAATGGGCACCTTCTTCATCAAATTCTGTTCGTCGCCGTTGTGAATCTCGACTTCTTCAACCTAAAATTAACAATACACTTTATAATCTATCTAAACGTACCTCAACCCTAGGCTCATCGTCGAGATTGATATCATTTGGCTCGTCTCCATACTGATCGTCCTCGAACTTGTACCGTCTACGACGACGATTCATTTGTTGCGGTGAACTCTTGCGGCCACGGCGATTCGATCGAAGGAGACCCTAAAGTAAGAGGCTAAATCAAAAGTTTTCAAGCTACTAATGCTGTCGGTGCTTTTTGATGCTAACCTTATGTCTTTCGCCAGCCGTCTCGTTGTACATCTCCGATAATTCATCGATCATACTGCGCACGCGTCGAACTTGACCCTCGTTGAGCGCGTTGAAGAATTCGAGCTAAAATAAAGCCATTTAGAAGTAACAAATTTACAACGGCAGGTCTTAAAAGCTTAAAGCTCTATCTACCTTCAATCTCGCACTGCACTCCTCGAACTCATCTTGCACTGTTTCACGGCGACGTCGCAATTGAATAGCCTCTCGACGCTTCTCAGCAGCTTCATTTACCGTTTCAATGTCCTAAAAATTTAAATTCCCTTTGCAACACTTGAAATTTTACCTCCTGTTGCCAAGATTCGTAACAAGCTCGTTCCAATTGAGTGAGTCCTTCGGGTGATGGTGGACGGTTTGGATCGACCATCGCCGGATCGTTCACTAAAAGAATCAAATTAGAATAAGCCTTTGAACACTCTTAAAACTATAAAGATAAACTTATAAACTTAACTATAACACAAACTATAAAGACACGGATTTGAACCCTGTAAAAAAACGCTTGAATCTAAAACATACAAAGGACCGGTTAGCTAAATCTACAATAAACCAACCAGCAATATCTAGCAGCTCATCCTCTCGTTGCATTGTTTCGTGATCGACGAACATCTCGTGGGGTTCAGGCGGCTGCAGTTGCTTCACACCGTCATCATAGTCCAATGCGGTGCCTATGTGGTGTTGCACGTGACGATTCGGATTAGAGCGCTCCAGAGCCAGCTGTTCTTCCAGATCATCCTAAAAGATCCATGTAAAATGAATTTAGGAAAAGAGGCTTAATCAAGCTTTTAAATTAAAATTAAAATTAAATTAAATTTTAAATTAAAACGACTCACTCTTTCAGCAAAAGTCTTGTTACGGCAGATTTGCAAGCGAATCGGCTAAAATTTATCGGGTAGTAATGAAAGCCAATCAAAAGCTGTTTACCTTCAGACCGCACCTAGAAAGCACATTGCGCACATCCTTGTCGTTGATGTTGAGAATCCGCTCCTCCAGCGCTGATCCCTCTTCGGCGAAATTGTGCACCTCAGCTGAACTCGATGACGATTAACCTTTTAAGTATTAACTGGTCATCTAGACCCATGAACAGCTTATCTATATTAAAACAACAAAATCCTCACTTTTAACAACTTTGATAATGACCGGCACCGGGAGACGCTTCAGGTTCAGCTCTTTGATTCTAAAAATCACATTTCGTTATCATTCTAAGTTCAATTGTTTGTAGCATTATTTTCTTTGCCTATCTTTTTGTACCTGTCACGAACATCATCGGGAATTCTGAGCACCGCATCGGGGTGAAGATGGTAATCACAGTAACGCACGTGGATTCGTCTAAATGGTCAACTTTCGTCTTAAATTGGTTCAGTCTTTTGTAATTTTCAGCCTTTTTTTACTAACCCGTCTTGAAATTCGAGTTTCTTGAAGAATGCAGTGCACATTCCATGAATGAAAAGTTTGCTTGGCTTCTTACGAGTCGTCTTCGGCACTCCAGTCTAAATGATTTGTGTTACCAAGAATTCGTAGAGCTTTGCGTTTTGTTCACGACTCAATTTACTACCTCATCTTCATCATACTCGATCTCTTCCACTTCTTCCATCAAATTGTCAACAGCACTGACTCCCGGACGAACCACAGCTCCTAAAAGGAATTCATAAAGTTAGCTAAACATTAAATTTTAAAAAGGTTCAACAACATGCGTTTTATTGACCACATAAGAAATAAACAATTAACATTTAAAAATTTACCCGAAGCAGTGATAATCTTCTTGCCCGGCTGCATGCGAACGTTTCGGTTGCAACGGTAGTAACTAAAATAGTGGTTTAAAAGTGTATCCCCGGTTTAAAAGTACCGAATCTGAACACCTTCACGCGAGGATTTGTTTCCACGAGACATCCGGAAGTTTCCACCTTTGCCTTCAAGTTCACGAAGGAACACCTAAAGTTTGAGATCCGAGTTTGATTTTCGCAACATACACAGCGCGTTTATTGACAACTACATAAAACTCAATCAATACATACCTGAAATTGTTCCTCATTTGCGAACGTCTTTTCCTTGATGTCTAACGGAACTTTGTGTGAGATGCGAAGATGGGTGCACAACTTCTCAATGCTCGGCAGTCGCTGATTGCAATCTTTCTCAGTGCACGGAAAGCGGCGTGGAGTGTAGTGATCACAGGTGCCCCAACGATTGATCTAAATTAGATTTAACAAAGTGGCTACAAGATAAAATACCTTTCTCAAATGGGTCTCGTATGCATTCCGGGGCATGTACTCGCTGCACGAATCGCAGAAGAAAGTGTTGTGCTGAAAAAGGAGACTTTTATTAGAAAGGGTAGTACATTTTTTGACTCACCGGCTCAATGTTTCCACGACTAACTTTCACATGTGTTTGTCCGATGAGATCTTTGCGCAATTCCGGCACCACAAACCAGCGATTCTTCAAATGTCTCGTCTCGATGATGTCACTCATTCGGTGGTCGCGCCCAAGCGGAGAACCCATGTGCTAAAAATTTACATGAAACCAATCAAAAGCCCAATGACTTACATCAAGGCCCTGCAATCCTGGTGGCATAATTTCGGCCGGGAGTGGTTCTTGTGGCTCGATTGGAGGCGGACCTTCCCCGTCACCACCATCCTAAAAGGGAAAAATAGTTTGTGCAAAGACTTTCATTGCTATCCTGAGCACCAAATCCCCTACCTCACTCTGATCGCCATCCAAATTCGGTTTTCCAGACAGTTGTCCATTCTCGAGGATCTCCTCTTCGATCACCTCCTCGGAAACCACTTCTCCAAATGATGCGTTCGCCATTCCGCCATACGATTTCTCTTCATATTCCTCATTGTTGTAGACGTAGATCTTGCGGTTATCTATGTAGAATGCTCTAGGAAAGGAATTTAAGCGTTTAGATTGGAAACTTTTGTACTCACTCTCCCATATCTCGCACGTATTCGTTCTCTTTTGTAATTGGCTTCGGACCGCCGGTCATTGTTTCACCGCCAGCCTCGGCTCTCACACGGTTCATCGCTTGATCGCTGAGCAGCTCGAGCTTGGAGTTGGATGGAATTGGGATCTAAATTAAGAGCTTGGCTGGAGATTGAGACATTGATTAAGTAAACACGCAGATTTTCAGTAAAACATTGCCCAAATCTCACCTTGACATGTGGCGCCAGTGTGCTTCTAAAATATTTCCTCGATCCCATCAATGGCTTCGGAATGCGCTCGCCGAGTCGTTCAAGCATTTTGCGGAAAGCGATCTAAAAACTTTCAGTTAAAGAAATCAAGAAATCAGCCAACCTGGCGATCGCCGGGCAGCGAGTCAAAAAATTCGCAGATCTCCAAGTCACGTCTTTGCTCGTCACGCCAATCAGAGCTAAAATGATGAATTTATAAATTAGATACATCAAATCTTAAATAGATCAACAACCATTCAGTGCTTATTAAAACCTACACCCTTGGCATTTGATAGTGCTTCTGAACGACGAAATTTCCGGGCCCAACTCTTTGAATTGTAGAGACTGGCAAGAGACGAGAAGGCGCGTGAACACGAACACCACCGTATTCTAAAGAAAATATTTGAGTAACTGTTAGTTTTTTAATTCATAAAACAGAAAAAACTTACTATCGTAGCCCATATGTCCCGCAGCAGATTGCACCTCCTCTGTGGCCTAAAGTGGACATTTAAAATAACTGGGTGATGTTTAGATGCTATAGGACTAGTGCAAAAAGTATGTACTTTAGAAGTCAATTACACTTTTTTACACAGAAACCCACTCCAACATCGTCCAGAAACTCGCGAACCGTCTTGCGGGCGTTTTGTGGTCTCCTTGAAAGTGACATTAAGGTCGAAATGTCGCCGCGTTGAGCGATCAAAGCCGATCGAGCACCGTGACCCTAAATTAGCTGATGTTAGTGAATTTTAAGCCTAACTTGTCTAGTAGTTAGCCATTTTTAAATGTTATAACCGCAACTTCATTACAAACGACTCGTCTTGCTCTGTAAGTTCTGACAGATAGATTTTGTCTGCAATTCATGTTACCTAGTTGCCTTGAAATGTTAAACATCAAAAAAATCTTTCAACGTCAAACGTTTGCCAATTCCATAGTGATATCTTTTATTGTAGTCTTTCAACTTTGCCCACCCTTTGTTGTAACTGTTCATACTCGTCCTCCATCATTTCATCGTCATCCACCAAGATTCGATCGTCATCAATTTGTCCGTCGTCGATCACCTCCTCTTCAACGTATTCTAAAATGACAAACTGGTAGTTAGACCTAGAAGTGGCTTGCTTTACCTTCATAAGCATCCACTTCATCGCCGAGATACTTTTGACGATAGTCTTGCTCATCTAAAATAGTGTTTTTAAAAAAAAATCCAATCCAACAAACCGGCAGAAGTTCCGACAACGACCTCTTGCAGCTCACCATCGTCACCCATGTCGTGGAGGCCTGAATATGAGGTAAAATGGCGCAAAAGCTAGTATTTTACTGATTCTAGATTTTCAATTGCAAACAAACGCTTCCTATACTATTTTTTCATTATCTAAACACCATTTTACCACTTTTCTTGTCGATCAATGAAAAATTTATCACTCCGACACTGTTATTCATATAAACCCATTTAAAAAAATCCCTCACCTTCTCCATTTCCCGGATGATCGTCGGGTCCTTCGCTTTCCGGAAGTCTTTCCATCTAAAAATAACAAACATTACAAGTTTTGTTCGTAGAAAAAGATGAAAGATAAGTTTTTGAGCCAAAAACGTTAGAAAAATTCTCTCTAAAGCTAATTTTCAGGAAAAAGAATTAAGTTTTGCAAAAAAATGCCCAAAACTTCATACGATTACACGTAAATTGCTTATTTAAGAGGTTCCACTATCAAAATGCAAGTCAAATAAGTTAAAATGCTTAGGAAAAGTTCGGCAAAAGAGACAAAACGATAAAATTTGGCAAACTTTTAAGAAAGTAGGGGTAGGCTAGTTTCCGCAACTTTTTTTGCGCAACTGGGTCATTTGCGCAACTGGGTCGTTTGCGCTTAGCGTTTTCCGCTTAATACAAAATTGTCATAAAAGATATTCAGCTAAGCGCTTGAATGTTCTCAAAAGGTGCGTGGGATTCAGTTTATTGAGGAAATTAGCACTTAATAAATAGAAAACTATATAATGCTGCCAATTTTTTTTCAAGTTTTATGCTTTTAGGTGGTTTTAAAAGATATTCAGCTAATATAAGCTAGAAAAAGGCATTCTCTGTGAAATAAGTCTCCTCTAATAAGCTATAGCTCATTAGAGGAGCTATAGCTTATTAGAGGAGCTATAGCTCAAGGCTGTCACCTAGCTCTTAGCTTAATATCTTCATTTTAAAGAAGAAATCCATATTTATAACCAAGAAATTAGCATTTATAGTCATTTATAATCTTTTCTAAAGACTTTTCGCAAGTTTTCGAAACTTCAACTTATAAATAGTAAGCACTTTTCTAAAACACATCCATTCTCCCTACGAAACAAAAAGAAATACGGTAAGAAAAGTATGGAAATTTGAATCAACTAACTATTAAAACGTGGATACGTCACACGTGAAAAAAAAAGCCAATAGAATTATATAAGGCACTAACGATTGAGAGCCGAGGACGGCTTCCAAAAATTTGCCCTCCGCGACGCGACCGCTTTGGGGAAAGATGGTCCTCCCACCGTCCAATTGTGCATGGGAATCCCGTGTCCCGTCTACCGTACCCCGCTTTTGCCGGGAAAGCAAATTTTAGATTGCTGGCCTTGTTGATGGGGGATCATTCAAAAGTAACATTTCTAAGCTTTTTAAGTTTTTATCAAAACTACAGTATAAACTACTCGTTCTACCCCCTGGGAAAGCAAATTTTAGCTCACTTTTTGAGAGCATTTAAAAAGCTTCTTACATTGCTGAAATAAGCCAGGATAAATGCAAGTTTTATTCTAACCCGAGTAAGGTACTGGACACAAAAGCAGGTACAAAAAGCTATCAAACACAACTTTTGAATGGTACCTTGCACAATGTGCCATTCAAAAACGGTCCTAGCTTGTTGTATCAAGAAATAAATCAGTATAAATGCAAATTATCTTTTAATAGAGATACAGAGGGATATCGTAACCCTTTTGTAGATATAAACATTAGAACTTGCATAGAGAAAGTGAGATGGGAAAAAGAGTATTGTAAGGGACAGGGTAAAGTAAATTTTGGCTTACAAAAAAAAAGAATCGAAAAGAATCAAATCGGTAAAAAGTTTAGACTTGAAAGTAGTTCAAAGTCCTTGTATCCGAGAATTTTTATCTAAAGTGTAATTGTAATTGTGAATCGACTTGAATTGCATTTCTGTAATTGTAAGCCAAAAATGAGTAGATCCAGATAATCGGCAATTAAACTTAAAATTCGGAAATTTTTTAGAGCTCTCGGATATCTGGCACTTCTTTGCCCATATCTGTTACTTAGCCAGAACCACTTGCATACCTCTTTACCTAAAAAAAACCTATTCAGTTCGAAAGTACTGTACTCTCCATAAAGCTATCGTACTCTTCCCTTTCCATAGAATTGATTATCATAATAGAGTTCTCTACATCTTTCATCTCTACAGTACTCCTGGCTATGAGAGCTATTGTATCTTCACCGCCCGTAGCTAAAAGCTACCGTACTTTCTGTAGAATCAAGCTTAATATCTTTACTACCGTAATCTCCATGTAAACTACTGTAGTTCTCTTGCAGAACTAAATCCGCACATCTAAATATTCTCAATCATCTCAGAATTCCATTCCCGCTAATCCTTTCCACACATAGAATCCCTTCTCAAGAGTGAAAAATCTCGGATATAATAACTCTCGTCGAGGGGCATACTCATTAGGTTGAAATCCGGGAGAAGAGAAGGCATGCATAGGAATTCGTCTCTCCACCCTCGTTCTCTCCACTACCCGCAATCCCTCTTTCTCTTCTCCATGGGAAATGCTGTCACCTCTGCTGGCCTGTCACTGCCATTTGCTATTAGATGGGCAAGAGGGAGGAGGGGGTGCCTGGGTCGATATTGGCCGACGGGGGGTCCAGTGCCCCTCTACTCATTACGAGTCCCCCACATGAAGACGGGAGAGGTGCAAGTTCTTCTGTCTCTGTCTATTCGATGTCTCTGTCTGTGCCATTCCCCTTTCCCCGCTTTCTCACCCGCTCCAGCTATTCATGCTTTTGATATGGGATTGCCCGCCTTTTCCCTGCCTTTCCTCAGTCTTTCCGTTTTCTCTTTCAACGTCTTACAAAACTTTGTGACAAAAGTTTTGATTAGTTTTATTTGTTTGTTTCACTTTCTCTTGCACAATTCATTTTTATCTTCTTCTTTAAATTTCTTTTACATTGTTCGAAAGAAATTTTAATTGAAAACATAAATTTTTTCATAGTGATGACAAATTTTTTTTTGTTTTAAATTAGGGGTTTCTAGTAGAGTTATTTATTGAGAGCTATTTATTGACAATAGATTTATTAGTTATTAGGTTGATGCAAAAGTCTTTTTCATTTTTTTCGTCTGCCGTTCCAAGCCAACAAATGCACGAATTAAACTACGGTTGATTTCATTAGAAAAAGCAATTATTTTTCTGCAAAATAACATTAAAACGGGTTTAAAAATATTGAATGCCTGGATTTTCTTGAGAGTATGAAGTCGGGTAGTCAAAAAGGGCTAACTCGATGATGCGGTTTAGACACCTTAGCTAAAGAAAACCTATCTTCGTGTCAATAGATAAAAGATAGAGAAAAAAAAACGTTTGATATTTCGCCAAAATTTCAGAGAAATTCATTGAGCCAATTTTTCCGTAGAGTTTTTTATAGATTTTTACGAAAAAGGCGTTTTTCACTCTCGAATTTGCTTCAAAGTGAACCGAAATTCATTTAAAAAGATGCAAATTGAACAAAAAAACACTTTTTTTATAGAGCAAACTATAGATTAATTGGTGAATTTGTTACTTTTTAACAGAAGTACGAAAAAAATGAAAAAGACTTTTGCATCAACCTAATAGTTTAGATAGTTTAGATAGTTTAGATTTATTTAGATTAGTTTTAATAATATTCTTTCAAAATTTCAGATTAAATTTTCATTAACACTTTGCTTAAAACTAAAAATGATGTTTTTCTCGTCAACACTCCATCCGAGTAAAGTTGAGTCGTTCAATTTGAACAGCTTTTCAGAACAGTAACCATTTCTATATCTATTCTATATCTATTCTATTTCTATTTCTATATCTATTCTATATCTTTAAAATTATCTTTTCGAGCATTACTTCCTAACCATTTCCTCTGAAACATTATCCTTTTACCGTATCTACTGGAATACGGTAGTTTGATCAAACTTTAGTGTAGATGGATAAAATCGAATCACCCGCTGACCACTGCTAACCAATCCCTCAAATGAAATCAGAAAGTCAGATGAAATCATGGCCGATCTGTCTTCCCTCCATTGACGGCTCTCTGTCAAAATGCGCCTCAGCCTCGGCTATTTGCGCTTCGAATGGGCGAAAGCCAAGGCTGTCATTTGTCGAAGAAAAGAGAAAAGAGACCAAATGAAAGCATTCATTCACCGGGTATTTGTGTCGGGGTCCAACTCGGGGATGCCCCGGGTTGTCACTTGACACTCTGTCCACACACGGAAAGGGGGGGAGGCAACCCTTTCATTGCCCCTGCGTAGCTAGGATCCTGCATTGGACTGTGACCGATCATACACCTTACATTCAACCATATTGTTCTTGAAACCGATTACTGTACCTTTCTCGATCACGGTACTGATTGGCTGATTCTTTAGCGGTTACGCCTTTTTCATTTTGCCCAAAGAACTATTAAATAGTTAACCGACTTTTCAGGGTGAAAACATTGAAACATTAAATTTTCGATCGATTTAATCAATAAAATCAATTTTTTTAATCAAATTTAATCAAATTTTTTAATTTTAACTTTGTCTCAATCTTAATAAAATTTTCCTGTATATATATTCACCTTTAAAATGATTTTGATTGATGATGAAACCAGCGACTCTTCAAATTTCTCGTCTCAAATGATTGAAAAAGCCGAGCTGAAAAGCTAATAAAGTCTACCTGATTACTTTAAACTTTTCTCGGTGTTAAATCCAAATTTTGAAACTTGTATTTTTTTTCGATCTTGTATTTGCACTATTAAACTCCAAGTTACTAACCACCATGTTTTTGGAGCAGAAACTTGCTAGATTTTTGATGCTTGCACCAATTTCATCGTTGATTTTAACTGCCTATTCTCTATTTTGAAAATCAATTGCTTTTTCAGGCTTTAAATCCTCTGACATTGATTTAGGTCATTTCCCAGTTTTTTTTGCTTTGATTTTATTCTATTTTGATAAAAGACCTGTCACGTACTTTTTGCTCCGCAAATCTCGTAAACATCCTCTTTCTGGCGTACAGCAATTCTTCTATTTCCCCTCACAGCAACGAGGGGAAAATGGAAGAATTGAGTGCAGAGAGGGGGTGTTTATGGGATTTGTGAAGAGCACAAAGTTCGCCACTATGGATTACGGTAGTTTATTCATTTCTTAAATTACCATAGTTTTCAGATCTAATTTGTGGGGACAATCCCCCGATTTCTCTTCTAAAAAATGGCTCTCGATCAGGTGCTCGCTCACCTCGTCGAGAATCTCAACGCGCAAATGAGCGAAGACGGAAAAGATAAGGAAGAGAATTTTGGGTTCGTTGAATTGTTCAAATTATTTGCATCTTTTTTTTCTAGTCCATCAGCAAAATCAGCACTAACTAGTCTGCTCTGTGATCGCCAATTGCAAGAGTGCCGCCTGGAAAAGGATAAACGCGATTTTCGCACCTGGCAAAAGGTTGGTTGGTTTCTGAGTTGGCCTCTCTGAGGTTTCTGAGTTCTGAATTACGATAGTTTTGACTGAAATTGGGAGGCCTTTTAGAAAACGATGCAACAGGACACACTCGTTTTACAAAATACTTGATTTCAGATCGAATTTGCCAAGCTGATCCGCCAACGAAAGCACATTCTCTTCGGTGAATGTGATGGAGCGGTGGTTAGTGTTTCAAAGTTTGCAAAAGTTCTAAAACATTTAAAACCATCAAATGTTCATTTTCCATGAGCAATTTCAGCATTAGAAAGCTTTCTATTGATCGATTAAGAGCATTGAATACATTGACAGGAAAAGCCATGATCTCCATCTATTTTCGAAGATTAAAGATTCAAAATTCGATAAGGATACTAGGCTAGACTTGAATTTACGAACAATAATACGCAAATCTTTTTTCAGAACGTTCTCAGAACTGCGGAACAAAGACCTAAATCAATCTCGTTTCAGTTGAAACTTAGAATTTTTAAATAAGCAAGAAATTATTGTCTGTAAAGATCCCGCTCTAGTGCCGATTAAAATGAAACTTAGACTTTAAAAATAAGGTTTAATTTAGAAAAATGCTTTATTTATCCAAAATTTGTTTAATTTAAACTCATCTAATCATAAAAATTCTTGCAGATTTGCATAAAATTTAACTATACAGGTAACAGCAAAAGCGAAAGAGGACGCTTGGCGAGAGATCCAGCACGAATTGGAGGAGATGGGCGCCGACTCGTTCAAGGTTTCTAAATTTACAAAATCTTTAATTTATGTAAAGATTGTAAAAGTAAATGAGAATTTCTAGATTTAAGCTCGCTTTTTGAGGAGGGGATTATTAACCTTTAGACCCACACCATCACCCACAATAACTTGAAACCGATAAAATTTCAAAGTTAATAACGATTATTTTTGGTGTCAACTCGTTTTTAAGGACTTTTCTTATTTATTTTGCAGAAAGTTCTCGGTAACTTTGTATTAGTTTTGAAGAGGAGATTCAGCGCTATCGAATGAGCTATAATGCTATAATAGTTTAGTTTATCTTTGAATTAACACTAAATTATCAGTGAAACAGTTAACGACTACGCGGCTGTACGCTCAAAATGTGTCGTTGCCTAGATTTATCCCGATCCAAATTTTACCATATCTATAGGGAAAACCGTGGATGCGTCTCCGGGATCACGATTGGCAGTATATAAGGCGACACGCGATGAATCGATACGAGAATGGGAAAGTCTCGGTGGGGGAAATTATTCAATAATAATTCTTTATTTTGTTTTAAAAATCTTTATGCTAAGAATATTTGATTCAAAAATAATCCTAATGTCTTTAAAGATGTTTCGAAAGAATTGTTCACCCGTCTCGTGAATTTACTTCCATTAACTTGAAACCTAGCTTTTCAAAACTATTTTTGAACTAATAACTTTGCTTAAGCAATGAAGTTTTTGAATTAACATTTCTATGAACACTTTCAAGCGAAATTCTTTGAAACATCATCTTTTTGATCAGTTTGATGATTGCTCTAACTAGTACAGCTGTACTTTGTACGCAAGTAAGAATAAATGAACCTTAAACTGTAGAAGGAAGGTAGTGGAAAGATGAGGGAAAGAATGAAATCAAGTGGTGAATAATTGAACTATGCTAACAGTATTGGAAAGCCGGATAGTACTGTCTAGTGCAACAGGAAGATTCAAGTTTCAATCTAGCCAATCAGTCGGTGATCGTTTTATGATTAGTTAAGCATCTCCTCATGGATCCCGTAAACGCTCCCTTTCTGGCGCACTGTACAATTTCCCCTCGCAACAACGGTGTCACGAGTGCACCAGAAAGGGGATGTTTATGAGATTTGAGAGAGCAAAACCCCATCTGCCATTTCTTTTAGACTCATTGATGCATGACGATTAATCCAACAGACCCTTCAATTAGATTAAAAACTTTGAAACTTTTATTTCACTCGCTGAAGATTTCATTTAATTCCTTTGATCCTTGCTGTCTTAGATTTTAAAAAGTCTCCAGTTCTAAGGGAGCTTTTTCAATATCAAAAAAACTATTCAGAATTATTGAAAATTGAAAAATAAACTAGAATCTAAAGCTTAATTTAAACGTTTTTTCAGACGGGTCGTCTCTCCGAGTTGGACGAGATCGTCGTCGAGATCGTGCAAGGCGACAAAACCTCATCAATCAACAACAATGTTAGCCAAGTGAGTGCAAAAAAAAATATTAGCTTTCCATTCGAAATCTATTTTTTCGTTCGAATTTGGTGTGTTTATCTTTAAAAAAAGCACTAATCTTATATTATTTATCTTATAAAGATTGACTGAGAAAAAAGAGTTTCAACTTAAACAACATCAAGTGTAAGACTTTACTCATTACTCAACAACATCAAAAGCAAGTAAATACTTTTGTCATTGTGCTTTTTAAAAAGTGAAATCTCATTGAAAACGGGTTAAAGCAAAATTTAGAGATTCTCCTCAACGAGGGTAAGCTTTAAAAGGGAAATGTTCAAAAAAAGAAATAACTTTCGGCTAATCAGCATGAATTTTCTTTGATTGGACGGGAAGCATTGGCTTTTTGGCTAAGGATTCATTTGATTCTAATTCTCCTTTTATTTTTAATATTCTTTTAGTTAAATTTAAGTCATTTTTCTTACCTTTAGCTTTTTATTTCTTTGTTAATTTGATTTAAAATTGAAATTCGTGATTTTAAAAGAAAAGTTTCAAGTTTGTCAATGCTTGGACAAGACCGCTTGGATTAATGGTAAAAAAACGAGTTTTAAACAAAATTTCCATATTTTTATCATAGTTGAACCTTTTTTTTTCCTAATGTTTCAATATTTTGGACTTAATGAAAGGGTTTTAAGAACTAATTGACGTCAGGCTGCGTTGGTGTCGAATTCATTTGTTTGAAAAGAAACGGCTAGAGAAGGGGATTTTGAGAAACTAATCCCATAACAATATACATTTACGAAGTGTTTCCAAAACATCTATAGTGCATATAGTAAATAGTAGCGTAGTGTACTGTAGCTAGAGATCGTAAAAAGTCTGAAATTGACCTAAGAAATAGCGGATTTGTAGTTCGGTAGCAGTTAGAGTGAATAGCTCTTCAATGAGTGAAATAAAAGTTTCAAAATTCTTAAGGAAACCAAAGGGTTTGTGGGTTTAATGATAGAAAGACCTAGAAAATAACTCCAAATCTGGATTAATGTGGATTCAAAAATAGAATTAGCAAAATTAGCAAAATTAGCAACATTTTTTGCCATTCCAGGACTCAAATGACAGCTTTGGCGCTCAGCTTTGCTCTTTATTGGCTGCCTCGTCCGAATCAACGCAAAATGGATCGATTTTTGGGATAAATGAGGTGAGAAATGATTCGATTTTATAGAAAGAATTTTTCTCAACTCGAAAAAGAAAACAAAAATTTTGGTCTTAGCAGTCTCGTTGCGGACCCAAATTTTGTCATTTGTGTCTTATTGGGCGGCATTTGGGCGGCCTCCTTGCGGGCCTGTTTCAGTGCAGTAGTGGCCGACAGTTACAGCGCTCGTTTGATAATTTTTGATAACAAAAAAAAATCGAAATCCTTTTTTAAACTATAAATGCTATGGCTCAAAAGCTATCTGAATAATAAAATGAATTTCATTTCCTTTAAACTATATCTTTTTAGATTAAAGAAGAGTTGACGATGGGCACGCCGGAGAGAATCTCCGAATCACCGGAAATCTCGTCAGCTCCCACGACTCAAAGCCATTCCACAACACAGACAACGAATGGAAATGCGAGCAAAAGACATATTGACAGGTTTCGTGAAAAATCTAGTTTTCTAGTTTCTAATTTTTCTAAGGAAAAATCGATTGGAGATATTCATTTTATTGAGAGATTAGCTTTAAAAGAAATTAAGCCGTTAAGAAATTAAGCATGATTCATTCAAAAGCTCCCTTAGGACTAGATCCTTCTTTAAATCTAAGACAGCAAGGATTACGGCAGCCTTTCCAAAGCTTTTCCAAGCACCCTTTAGAAAACGAACGCTTCTCTCAATTTTCAGCGCTCTCCGCAACGCATTGGCCTCTCTATCATGCGCTTTCGGCAATTCTCAAATGGATACCGTAACCCCGACGACAACTGGACAAAATAATGCAAATGTTTCAACGTCAACAAATCAGTCATCGTATTCAAATCATTCAAATCATTCAACCGGCTCAATTCAGCGAGAACCACCCGCGAAGAGAGGACGAGTCGGCAATGGGTTCGTTTCTCTGAGCAAAACTTCACTACAATGCTAAATCCAACTCTGTAACCATAAAACTTGAAACTTTCTTTTTCTCTAGGCTGTGTTGACAGTAAAATATCGTCTTTATCGTGGTGATTTTTAAATATGAAATTACTACAAATTACTACAAATTACTAGCTATACGTACTGCAAACCCTCAGCTGAGCTTTTCAGTCAAAAAAAACTTAGTTTCAAAATTAACAATTTGAAAAGCTTTTTTTACTCTACAATCATTATTTCACGGGTTAGACAACTGACTTAAAAAAGCAAAAAAAAACGCCAAACGAATGTTTCAACAGAATTTCGTGCAGCAAAAGCTATAACATGGAATCTGATAAATGGATCTGATTACCATTCACCAGTAAGCCAGTTAATCCCATATTTTGAAACATTAATTTTTTGAAGCAATAAAGTTCTGTGGGTGATTGCTGAAATTGAAACTTAGATTTTCGAAAAAGAAAAAAGCTTTTAGAAAAAGCTTTGTTTCAAATTCGAGAACTTTAAAGTGCAGACAGATTTTTTAATGGGTTAAATTTACAGTTTAGTCATTTTTTTTTGATTTTTTGATTCTATGGATAAAAGAAAATGAAATCGAAATGATTTTTTTGAGATTGCTTTGAAGCTTGATAAATAGATGGACGATATTATCGGATCGTTCATCAACAAGCTTTCAAACACAGCACAAGCATCAACGTTCATCAACGGATCGCTAATCAACAAGCTTTCAAACAGCCTTCACCATCAAAAACACTAATTTTTGCTCCTAAAAACGAATAAATTTAAACGATTAGCTGATTGAAATGATTAGACGATCAACTAGGCTCACTTTGAAACACAAAACTATATCAAGTGTTTAAAGTATCAAGTGCAGAGCCGGGCAGTTCGAATTACAAGTCTTAAAGTTAAAAACTCAATGCTTATTTTAAATTCATCGGCATTCGATAGCATTTTACAGCTTAAATGCAATCATTTTACAATGCCAACTCTACAGAAAATAGACAATAGACAATAGTTTCTTTTATATAATAATCGATTTCAGAGACCATGACCCAGTGAACTCCATTCAGCCAACGATTGAAACTCTTCAACGTCAAAAGCTCGAGCTTGAGATGGAACACATGAGAAATGAGGAGATGAGACGCCAGGAAAGACATTTATTGGAGGTGGGCAATTCGAGGAGGCTATTCGAGGAGTTCAAGAAGGAAGTGCTTAGACTTCCTTGAATATCTTGAAACTATTAATTGGTCAAATTGTTGATTGGTTAGATGAAATTGTATTTGATAGGTGTTTCAGAGTTAATAACTACTATCAAACTGATCAAACTGATAAATTTCAGATAGAACGCCTCCGCATTTCCGTTTCGTTGATGAAAAAGTGCTTTGATGATGGGAATTGTGAGAAATTCGGGAATTTCGATGATTTCTTCGCCAGGTTTCAAAGTTGATGAATAGGCGAATTGCCTCTTTACCCCTGTACATGTGAGATTTCGATTTTAAAACCAACAAAAGCTAGTCATTTCGATGACTTTAGTCGTACTTGAAACAATATACATATCTTTGAAGACATATCTTTCATTTTTTGACTCAATTTTCCCTTTTTCCTTTTTTTGATTTAAAATGTGATGAATTTCTATTGAAATATCTCCGAAAAAATGGTGATTATTGAGGTGATTATTGAGATAACATATCATATCAAAATTGATGTTTAATTTCATTCAAAACTTCTAAAGCTAAAGCTAAAACTAAAAAGCTTTACGTATCTTTCAGCTAATGAGCTAACTTTCAGCTCAAAGCTAACTAATTAACAGCTTGAGCTAACTTACAGCTTACTTATCTTTCAGCTTAAAAAGAAAACAACAACAACAATAACAAAAACAACAACAACAACAACATTTTCTATCTGAATTGAGAACAAAAGGCAAATTAAGCCCAGATTTTCCTGTTTCTAGTGAACTAATTTGAAACATGACTTTTGAAATCTAAGATTTCTAAGATTTTTTGTAAGATTTGACTTTGAAATTTGTAAATATTGTAAAATCTCAGTCGCTTCTTTCACTACAATATCCCACAAGAATAAGTATTCAGCCGACAACACTAAATACCTATTCAATCGAAGAATACTCACCTTTCTCAGCTGATGATCGTATTACCTTAAAAGCGAAATGATTAAGACGATCAACTAGCCTCATTTTCAAACACAAAACTTTAAATGATGAAGCGCAGAGCCCGTAGCCCGGGCAGTTCGAAGTACAAGTTTTAAAATTAACAACTTTTAAAGGTTTACGGTACTTTTATTCACCATTTACCCCCCATTTTCTCTTGATTATTTTCCCTTTTTGATATCACAAACGAAATGTGGGTCACTTCTCTCTCCATTCCCCCTCCCCTCCCCCATCATCTAGTCCTTCCAGAGCAACCATATCAAAAAGTTTTTGTGAAATCTCAGTGGTTTTTATTATTTTTTTGTTTCGTTTTGAAATCTTGATTATTTTTATTGTTTTCGAATCAATTCCAACATTTATTTTTTCTCATCATTAAAAAATATTTTTCAAAATCCTCTTGCTTTTCTTTGAAACTCATACTTTTAAACTTAAACCTTTTACCTTAAAAATGAAAATCTCGATTTCTTTTGCATTTCCATGAATTCTTTTGCATTTTTCTTAATCCCAGCTCGAATTCTGTGATCTCTAAACAGTAATTTCTTTGATATTATATGAATTTTTTTTGAAACTAACTTTCTTTTGATGATTTTTGTCTAATTTTTGTCGATTTTTGTCGATTTTATTCGTTTTACAATGTTCTATTGCAATAAAGTTTCATTTTTTATTAAAATTTATGAAAATTTCGTTCTTTTGTGAACACTTTGACTTATTTTTTTGTATTTATAACTTAAAAAAGAGCTTATGAAGGTAAAATGAAGGTTGGAGGGAAATTTTGCGTTTTTTTTTTTTTAAAGAATTCGAGTTCAAGAAACGCGAAAAGAGCTTTAAAATAATGTATTTTTATTTTGTAAATCAAAGATTTCTCAGCGAACAAAGATTTCTCAGGGCTTGTCCCCTCTAACAGGTACTACACCTGCCCATTACCGTCTTCTGTAAACCCTGAGAGTTAAAAGTCATTACCGGGGGAGATTACTGTGAAAGCGGGCAGCCCAGATTGGGCTCGTATGATAAATTGGTGATAAATTCTTTTTCAGGGGTTGAGAGTTGAGAGCTTTCGATATAAAGGTTATTAGATATACAGTGGCGGACAATTAAATAGAACCGAGGGAATTATTTCGTGTCTTCTCTCTCGTGCATTATTTTAACTTACTTTCAAAAGTAAAGTAAAATATAGTTCAATATACATCTATTAAACAGTTTTCGAGTTTTCTGAAAAAACTTTGAGGCACTTAAAAAGGCATGAAAATAAAAGTATAGTTGTCAATAATAAAAGGGTCAAAAAAGGGAAAAAACGGCAAAAATAGCCAAAAATCGTCGTTTTTGAGCACTTTCAGATGCCCGAAAACCCTTAAATTTCAACGAATTTCCACAAACTAAAAGCTTATTCCCACTAAATCGAATACGAAGAATCTTTTTGCTGAACATTATCATGCTCTAAAACGCCTCAGGAAAAAGTTGTAAAACTATACTTTTATTTTCATGCATTTTTAAGTGCCTCAAAGTTTTTTCAGAAAACTCGAAAACTGTTTAATAGATGTATATTGAACTATATTTTACTTTACTTTTGAAAGTAAGTTAAAATAATGCACGAGAGAGAAGACACGAAATAATTCCCTCGGTTCTATTTAATTGTCCGCCACTGTATTTTAGATATATATGTCGTAACCGATTATCAATGAAATTTTTTGGCAAATCTTTCTAGTAGAGCAACTTTTTAATCTATGAGGACAATATTATATCATCTTGTAGCGAATTCGATTCTGCGTCGATTGGTACCAAATTTGTGAGTTTAGGTTAAAAATTGCCGGCGCTACAACGTTTCATTCAAAAATCGGCGGGACCCCCCGTAGCCGATTATGAATTTCAGCCGATTATGAATGAGTGGGTCTAGGAGCGTCAAACCATCAAGTATTTAGTATCATTCAACGCAGAATCATTGATAATTATGTTAAATTTTTTAAATTAGCAAGATTTGATAAAAAAGAAAAAAAATTAGAGCAAAAAACTGTTTGTTCAAGAGAAAACTTTGAAGCTTCATAATTTTTTTTCTTTTTTATCAAATCTTGCTAATTTAAAAAATTTAACATAATTATCAATGATTCTGCGTTGAATGATACTAAATACTTGATGGTTTGACGCTCCTAGACCCACTCATTCATAATCGGCTGAAATTCATAATCGGCTACGGGGGGTCCCGCCGATTTTTGAATGAAACGTTGTAGCGCCGGCAATTTTTAACCTAAACTCACAAATTTGGTACCAATCGACGCAGAATCGAATTCGCTACAAGATGATATAATATTGTCCTCATAGATTAAAAAGTTGCTCTACTAGAAAGATTTGCCAAAAAATTTCATTGATAATCGGTTACGACATATATATCTAAAATACAGTGGCGGACAATTAAATAGAACCGAGGGAATTATTTCGTGTCTTCTCTCTCGTGCATTATTTTAACTTACTTTCAAAAGTAAAGTAAAATATAGTTCAATATACATCTATTAAACAGTTTTCGAGTTTTCTGAAAAAACTTTGAGGCACTTAAAAAGGCATGAAAATAAAAGTATAGTTGTCAATAATAAAAGGGTCAAAAAAGGGAAAAAACGGCAAAAATAGCCAAAAATCGTCGTTTTTGAGCACTTTCAGATGCCCGAAAACCCTTAAATTTCAACGAATTTCCACAAACTAAAAGCTTATTCCCACTAAATCGAATACGAAGAATCTTTTTGCTGAACATTATCATGCTCTAAAACGCCTCAGGAAAAAGTTGTAAAACTATACTTTTATTTTCATGCATTTTTAAGTGCCTCAAAGTTTTTTCAGAAAACTCGAAAACTGTTTAATAGATGTATATTGAACTATATTTTACTTTACTTTTGAAAGTAAGTTAAAATAATGCACGAGAGAGAAGACACGAAATAATTCCCTCGGTTCTATTTAATTGTCCCCCACTGTATGTTAGATATATATGTCGTAACCGATTATCAATGAAATTTTTTGGCAAATCTTTCTAGTAGAGCAACTTTTTAATCTATGAGGACAATATTATATCATCTTGTAGCGAATTCGATTCTGCGTCGATTGGTACCAAATTTGTGAGTTTAGGTTAAAAATTGCCGGCGCTACAACGTTTCATTCAAAAATCGGCGGGACCCCCCGTAGCCGATTATGAATTTCAGCCGATTATGAATGAGTGGGTCTAGGAGCGTCAAACCATCAAGTATTTAGTATCATTCAACGCAGAATCATTGATAATTATGTTAAATTTTTTAAATTAGCAAGATTTAATAAAAAAGAAAAAAAAATTAGAGCAAAAAACTGTTTGTTGAAGAGAAAACATTGAAGCTTCATAATTTTTTTCTTTTTTATCAAATCTTGCTAATTTAAAAAATTTAACATAATTATCAATGATTCTGCGTTGAATGATACTAAATACTTGATGGTTTGACGCTCCTAGACCCACTCATTCATAATCGGCTGAAATTCATAATCGGCTACGAGATATAGATGATCTAAATATATGGGGTATTAAATATACAAAAAAGGATAAGCCACAGTATACTTCCAATGAATTTTTCTTTTTTCATTTTGCATTTTGCTTCTTTTAAAGTTGATGTTAAGGTTTTTTGTGTTTGAAAATTATGAAAAATTATCAAACGAGCGCTGCACAAATCGGCCACGACTGCACTGAAACAGACCCGCAAGGAGGCCGCCCAAATCCCGCCCAATAAGACACAAATGACAAAATTTGGGTCCGCAACGAGACTGCTAAGACCAAAATTATCCATTTTCCGAGTGCTAACAAACTTTAAACGCTTATAACTTTGGATAGATTGTCATTTAGCAAAAACCGAATATATATTCGGAATCAGCATCAAATTCTACATCGATTGACATAGATCGCATAGCATTTAGCTCTGCCAGTTGACCTTTCCTTGTCAGTAAGGTCGACCACGGCAGTAATCCCAGTTTAACTTTAGCTGAACTTTAGTTTAACTTTATTTTGTCATCCTGTAGCACTAAAATCTACTCTATAAAGGGTTCTTATTTAGTTAAAAATGCTTTTAGTTTAAAGAATTTGAAGATATTGAGCCTTGTCTTCCTGTAGCTTTACATTATTTTAAACGGCTTAAACTACAGTACGGCTTAAACTACAGTAACTACAGTACTACAGTACGATCGATCTTAAAGCGACTGTAAGCTAAGACCTTAAAGCTTTAGCTTAGAGTATTCGAGCTACAATTGAAGCTACAAAATGTTTCTTTTCAAATCGAATGAAACTTTTCCGTTGTATGCCCCCAAAAATGACCATAAAACAGGGAAAACATTCGCTTAAATCTTGAGAAAACGCAATTGTTAATATCTGAGCTAAATGACAGTAGGAAAATAGACAGGAAAAGAAATGCAAAGTCTGTTTGAAGCTCTCCTTTCCCTTTTCCTCTCCCAGTAACAACCCTCAATCACGTAAAAATCACTCATTTTATTAGGTTGATGCATAAGTCTTTTCGTTTTGTTTCGTACTTCTGTTAAAAAGTAACAAATTCACCAATTAATCTATAGTTTGCTCTATAAAAAAAAGTGTTTTTTTTGTTCAATTTGCATCTTTTTAAATGAATTTCGGTTCACTTTGAAGCAAATTCGAGAGTGAAAAACGCCTTTTTCGTAAAAATCTATAAAAAACTCTACGGAAAAATTGGCTCAATGAATTTCTCTGAAATTTTGGCTATACACCTAACTTTTTGTGTTCTATCTTTTATCTATTGACACGAAGATAGGTTTTCTTTAGCTAAGGTGTCTAAACCGCATCATCGAGTTAGCCCTTTTTGACTACCCGACTTCATACTCTCAAGAAAATCCAGGCATTCAATATTTTTAAACCCGTTTTAATGTTATTTTGCAGAAAAATAATTGCTTTTTCTAATGAAATCAACCGTAGTTTAATTCGTGCATTTGTTGGCTTGAAACGGCAGACGAAAAGGAACAAAAACACTTATGCATCAACCTAATAGTAATCCCAGTAATTCGAGTAATCTATTGGGTTGGGGACTATGACTCGGCGCCAAACTTTACAGACACTTTTTGCACGCATAAAGCCTTCTTTAAATATGCGTTTTCTTTCATCAAAAGGATCCACTATTTCTCTACAAAATGACTTTTGATAAATTCCACAAAGCTTTTCTTTCCTGGAGTTTATGAAGTTTCAAACGCAGCTGGTCAAAATGGCAAAGAGTCCGACTCATCGTTTGAACAGTTTCTTCCACATAAACCTTCTTTGGTGTCTATGTAAAAAAGATAGAGCACATTCAATTACATAAGTTGCCAAATTTGCAGGAAGATCCCTCCAACCGTTTTTTCTAGATGACACTTTGTAGTTTTTGTGAAAAAATGGCCTTTTCATGAGCTGAGGCGCTGTTTGAGTTTCCTTTTAAATGCCATTTTGTAGAGAATTAATTAACTTTTCTACTGATATTAAACGCGTATTATTTGACCAAGTCTGCTAGAAGTTTTAGAAATTTTTTGCTTTTCGCCGCCGAGTCATAATCCCCAACCCAATAGTAATCCCAGTAACAACAATCACTCACTCTTTCTTTCATCTTTAAAAGCTTTAAAAGGAACTAAATAGGATCCTTTAAAAAAATCCTCCAAAATTTTGAAAGAAATTCAACGAAAAGTTGAACGATTTGATCGCTAACACTCTCCTTGTATACATAGCCAACCAAATTTTGTAAAATAACCATTTACAACAATTTCTAAAGAAATATTAAAGCAAAAAATCACTGGGTGTGGCTTTTTAGGCTCAAAAATTCTCTTTTTCTTTGATTTTTTTCAAGCTTTTTTCATTGTGTTGAGCCTTTTAGTTCTTTTTGAAACCTGACTTTTTTTTTGCCTTTCTTTTCCTGTCTATTTTCTTACATTTGAAGGTCATTTCAAATGCGAATAGATCGACCTTAGGAATAGCAAGTTTCAAAAAAATATATACTTTATCTTAATTTCAAAGTCTTACAAATGATCGGGTATCTATCGGGACCATGTGCCAGATGGCGAGCGACTAGCCGCCGCACAAAGAACACATTATTTCCATCTTTTTGTACTTTGTAGATGGCCTAAAAAGAAGATATTCAACTGTAAATTTGTCCCTGGGGGTTTTCGGGGTCGACGAATCGATTGGCGCTATTCATTTTATTGAGATATTGTCTCTGAACAAAGTTATAGACTTTTATATGGCGCCTTTTAGAAAACTTCTTCCCTCTCCCTGCTGCCCTTTCCTGTGTAATCGTCACCCCAATTCGCCCTTCCTCTGCACTCTGTCCCGCCAATTTCTCTCTTCCATATCTCTTTCTCTCTTCGATTTTCCCAATATTTTCTCCAATTTCTCTCAATATTCTCTGAAAAATCTCTCAAATCTTGCACTATTTCCCTTGTGGAAGATCCTCTTCCACTATCTCTCAAATCTTGCACTTTTTTCCCTTTCCCCCGTAGCCTCACCACAACTTCTAAACAATCCCTGGTCAAAAAAAGTTTTGTGTATTTCAAAATTCTATCTAAAGTTTAACAATATTTCTTATCAAACTTTGTTGATTCTAATTTGACTCAGCTTCATTCATTTAACTTTTAAACATTAAACCCCACTCAATTTGAAACTAAGAAAATTTATGTTCCAAAATTGGATCGAATTTTTGATTTTACCAAAGATTTAGAAAGCTATTCACTAAAAATAATAGCTTCATCCGATTTATCATTCTTTTTTCTCTGCTTTTCAACTAGTTTTTGTTTCTTTTTATCAATTTTATCAAGCAAAATAATCTTAGTGAAAAGATTTCAAAATTCTAGCAAATTTTTCAAATCTTTCAGTGAAAATGTTTCAAAATTGTACAAAAATCTTTCTTTTAATCATTATTAACTTTATTATTTTAAAAGTTCTTTATTTTTTTTGCTTTTTAAATACAAAAGTAATTAGTTCGAAAGTCAAAGCACAAAAATGACAAGCGAAAAGTTTCAATGTTTCAAAAAAGATGTTATAAAGACTCAAAAACTTTAATCAATTTATTTCGAATTTGTATCAAATTTTTGAATTCAAAAATTGATTACTTTATTAAATTATAACTTTTTTATCATTTTTGCACTTTTCAAAAACTTTTCACTAAGCTGAAAAATTTGATGTTTCAAAATTTTGATAATTAAAATTGAATTCCGTAACTTGAATCGGCGCTTTTGAAACCGTAGATACTGTAGTTGGACTCCAGCCGCCCCGTACAGTCGCGTAGTCGCAAAAGTTTTTCAGTATTTCATTGTTTTTCAAAGCGCTCGTACTTTCAAAAATTCAAAAATGCGTCTTTGGTATCAAAAAATAGCTGAAATTCAGGGCTATTTTTTGATACCTAAGCGCGCATTCTAGCATAAACCAGTGTCGAGAAAAACTCGTTCAAAGCTAGACTACGCAGCGCTCCGCATCGTCATTATGGGGCTGGGGTACTATTACAGTATTTACGGTAGGTACCCAACTATAGCGTGAAATCAGTAGTACAACTGTACTATTGTACTTTTATAGTATTTACGGCATGGTATTTTAATTCAATTTTTTTCGAAAATTTTTCAATTAATTATAAGTTTCTAATAAAATCTCGAAGTTTTTTTCAATTTTCAGATCTAATTTTTTTTTGGGCGATTATGGAAGCTGTCGGCCAAAACGCGGACTGGGATTTCTTCAAAAAGCAACCTTTTGGCATGCTGATGGCCGGACAAACGGTGAGAGAAGTTTCCAAAAATCCAAGCCTAAGCTTTAGGTTAAATGATTGGATTAGAATTTCAGATCCTCTCGCTCATTTTCTTGATTCTGCCCGTTTTCTCGGCCTACTTTGACCAAGGTAACTTTAAGATCGCCTCGAGTAAGATAGTACAAACGATTCTACAAACTGCAAGCTTAGCCAGGCAGGCTTCAACTTCAAAAAGAAATCTTTCAACATCAACAACAACAAAGCTCTAAATCATTTGAAATTCTCTGAATTGAGGTGGTTGGCTGGCTTTCTCGACATCTTCATGTCTTTTCCTCACCTCTCTCGTCATGAATCTCCTTCATCTTTTCCGTTTGAATCGACGAACGATTCAAGCAGGAAACGCCGCGTTTTTCGTACCCTGTGCACTCATTGTGAGTCAACAATTTCTATTAATCATCTAACTTGGAGAGTTTTTCCTAAAAGGCATCCATTTTCAGTCAAAACTAGAAATCCTTCCCTCATTGAATGAATTTCCTTTTGATCAACCTAATTTTTAAACCATTAACTGAGCCTTATGGTTCCCTCATCGAATATGATCAAAATTCGGTTGATCAAAAGGAAAACACACCATAACGAAAGGTTAGTTTAGTCATTTGGTTAGGTTTAGGCTCAGGCTCAGGCTTAGGCTTAGACTTAGGTTTAGGCTCAGTCAATGATATCAAATAGGCGATGGTAGGCAAACTGTTGCTATACAGAGTGCAGCATATATAATGTTGCACTCTATAAAAGGATAATTTTCTCAAAAACCATAAGAGTCATTAGTTTTTTTTGTTTAGATATTTAAAAGGGGAAACATAAGGCTTTATGCTTGACTCAAATTAGACTTGAATTCACTTGAATTTCACCAAAATTGAGTTGATCGAGTGAAAATGGTGCCTGAAATTTATTGTGTTTCAAATTGGATGAAGTTACTTGCATTTAAAAATGGTTAGTCTCCGTCATCTTCGGTGATCGAGGTCAACAAAAATTGATTTATTCTATTTGAATGTCAAAATACTTCTTTTTTTTTTTCAGATTTTTATCTCCTCCGTCATCTTCGGTTTCCTTTATTTATTCTCGACTCTGGCCTATTTGGTCGCTTTCATCCAATCACTTAGCTACGGTTTCCGGCATATCCTCTGGACATTCATTGGACTTGTGAGTAAATAAAAACAAAAATAATAAGGATATAAGTGAAATATCAAAAGAGAAGAACAAATTAACAAAGAAATAACAAAAAAAATGAATATTCTAACAAATTCTAACAAATTCAGACGACTAAATGACTTCTGATCACAAATTTCTGAGAGATGTCTCAACTTTTTGTGGAATTTTGGCAAAAATTTCACTATTAATAAGCATCATTTCCTTTTTATGTGCCGGTGATGTTAATTTGTGAGCGAAATTTGCAGATTAGAGCGTAAAAGCAACAAATTTCCAGTAAACATGAGGAAAAGGAGGAAAAAAAAGGAAAACCCCAAATTCTGGTTTTAATGTTTCAAATTTGTTGATAAGAAATGGCTCTCGTGGTTCTTAATGCTTGCTGAAAATTTAGAATAGAAAGAGAATAGAAAAGAAAAAAGAAAGAAAATATTATTTAGAAAAGATATTCTAGCGATTTCTAATCATCAAATAACTTTTAAATTGAGAATGGAAAAGAAAAAAAGGAAAGAAAAGATATTCTAACAATTTCTGATCACCAAATGACTTTAGATCACAAATTTTATAAACAAAGTTTCAACTTTGACGACTACTTTGCCGAAAATTTCTTTTATCAATATTACTTTCAACTTTTCAACGTTTCACGTCTATATTTAAAATTGATAAACTTTAAAAAACAGATTTAAATTCTAAAAACAATAATACACTTACAATTAGCAATTATCTCCATTTAAACTATGAAATCGACTTTTTTTTCCAGGTAATGGTCATTCTCCTTTCACTCGTCAATCTCTATCTCGGCATTTTGCTGTACAGAGCCGCTCCAAACTCTCGATTGATGGCCCTAACAACTATCGTCATTGAGGGTCTGTTTCAATGCTCTCAATTTCAATTTAAACATAAAAATTCTCTGCAAAAAGATCATCATAAATTGATTGATTTTAACGACTCACTGATCTCTTCATTCTAAACAAGGGGACGATTCTAACTCCTTCTAACTCCTTCTAACTCCTTCTAACTCATTCTAACTCATTCTAACTCATTCTAACTCATTCTAACTGATTCTAACTCACTCTAACTCATTCTAACTCACTCTAACTCACTCTAACTCACTCTAACTCATTCTAACTCACTCTAACTCATTCTAACTCATTCTAACTCATTCTAACTCATTTATGTGGAAGAAAGTGCTCAAATCGCTTCGTCGAGTCTTCATCATTTTTGATTCCTCAGCTTCTTACCCCCTAGAAACCTACAAAATCGATTTTTTCAAGAAGTAGAAAATTTGAGTGGAAATTTCTTTTACCAAGATTTTCAAGGTGTTCAATTTGATTAGATGTAGAAAAGGCAAAGAAAATGTGAGGGTCAGGGATTTTAGGGAAGACTTTAGGGAAGATTTTAGGGATTTTAGGGAGATGACAAATCTAAATCTTTCAAAAGCTTTCAAAAGAGAATAAATTGACCTTTTTTATTGGTAAAAACTAAAACTTTAGATTATTCTATTAGTAGAAAACGGTAGATTAATTGTACTAGTTATTTCTAAAAAGGGCAATGAAGTCTACCAATTTTCAAAGTTGCCAATCTAATAAATGACTGACAAGTGTCTTGTCGCGTAATCGCTCGCGATCTGGCAAAAACCCGTCCGGTATAGGGTCCTTTACAAAGCTGGATTAGAATTTTGAATTTTCAGGCTCGAAAACCGAGTTCCTCGAGGGCCGAGGGCCTCAATTCTCACCAACATCACCGAATCCTCCGCCAAACCCTCAATTCTCCATCTAGAAGATTACTATTTTAAAATTATTTTATTTTTAATATCGTCTTCTCTCTAATAGCAGTTCACCATGAGCGTTGATTACCGTATTTTCTGCAACGGCATGCTTACCGTCTTCTCTCTAATAGTACTGCACACAAAGCTTCGCTTAAATTGTTCGAAATCTCGAAAATCGCTTATCAGAACCCATCGATGTGGGGTCGGAAAATGTAGCTGACGATGAGATCTTGTCAAGGATTTGAGTGTTCAGCTTCTCTGAAAGCTTTGAAACTGTAAAATAGTGATCAACTCGGGGTTCACTACTCTTAGAGAGAATACGGTAAACTATTTTTTCATATTTCTACCAAATCCCTTTTTTTTCTTTCTTTGATTTTCATAAAACTTTTAAATTTCTGAAATTTCGGCATAATTCAGCGCATTTCCCCCGTATTTCCGAAGTTTTTCTTTTCATTTGATTTGCTCAACGCCATCCATCAAAAGTCTATCTTGAAACGCAAATTTTTGTCCACATCAAAACCATATCTTGCCTTCTTTTTTTTGTGTCTCAAAAGTGATCTTATTCGAGGAAATTCGCCTATTTTCGGTATTTTAAATAAAATTGCAAAAAAATTTACGTTAAAAATAATGAAAAATATATGAAAAACAAATAAATGCCCAATATTTTCTAGACGCGAAATTTGCTTTGTTTCAAGTTATTCCTAGTGGTGCCATGGATTTTATGACTAATGTTCGAAACCCTGCAAAACTAACAAATCGACAAATTTTCGTATACAAGCCAAATTGAAACTTGCTTTTTTTCAAAAGACCAATCTGAAATTAATCAATTTTCCTAGAATTTAACAAATTTTGGTATTCGTACAGTCGCGTAGTCGTTAAATGTTGCACTGAAAAATGAAACTGTTATAGATCATTCGATAGCTCTGAATCTACTCTTGGAAACTAGAACAATATTGAGAATTTTCTGCGAAAGTCCTTAAAAACTTGAGTTGACACGAAAAAGAATCGTTATTAGAACGATCATTTGGTGGGTCGGATTGCCATGAATGTGTTAAACAATGAATTCTTAGAAATGCTCAAATAGACCTCAAACAAACATTAATAAAGTTCCTTGATGTCCAGATTGAAACTCAATCATTCACTTTGCGATTTAAAGTTTTGTGTTTCAAAATGAGCAATGAGTTTTTTCGTTGGGAAAACGGAATCCGATTTGTAGACGTAGACGTGCTGCTTTTCTTAACCAGGAGAAGGCAGCTAAGTTTTGCAGAACCCCCCAAAACTCCCAAAAATTCAATGAATCTAGTAATTTAGTTCCCCCTGCAAATAAATACAGTTTCAATTTGATCGACATCAAAAGAGAAAGAATAAGAAAGAAATAGCATAAGAAAGAAGCACAAACTTCTTTTGAGCTTGTTACGGGATATTTCAATTTCTCTGTAAATTCCTGCAAGATTTCATGCAGAAAAAAGCCAGTTTCAACTTGATCATCTGCTAAAAGATAACAATCAAATGAATCCTTTGAATTCTATTTAGAAATTGATTAATGATTAACCTAAGCCTTACTTATTTAAATTTAAGTTTTATTTACTTTTAAATCTCTTTCATTTTTCTACAAAATGACGTTAAAAGATGTTAAAAAATGTGTTGTCGCTGCGCAAAGTCGAGTAGTCAAAAAAAACGAGTAGTCCAGCCTTTTAAGTCAAAGAAACCAATTTTGTTGTCAATAGAAAACAAAAGAGCAATGAGTTAAGCATATAGACGAGTTTCCAGAACAATCTTTTTCAACTAATTTCTTTAAAACATTCAAAAAACGAGTTTTTGCACTCGAATTTGCTTGAAGATCGACACAAATTGTCTTAAAAAAGATAGAAAAGATCGAAAAGTGATAATATTCTTCTATTTATATGTTAATTGGTGAATTTGTGAATTTGTGACATAAAAAAAGTGAGCAAAGGCTTTCCCATTCAGCTGAATAATTAAAAAGTCTTGATTTCAAAGCTAAGAGTTTCAAAATATCTCAAGACAAAGCACAATTCGACTGAATAGTTAAAAAGTTTTGATTTCAAAACTAAGAGTTTCAAAATATCTGAAGATAAAGCACAATTGAACTGAATAATTGAAAAGTGATGTTTGAAAACTAGACAAATAGTAGTGCGCACGCGATCGTAATCTCGGAGTACTTTAGCAAAGGCGACTTTCTGTTCAATATAAGCAAGTCTCATGCCTGGAAAAGAGAATTAATAAAAGATCATATACTTTTAAAAGATATTCAGCTTTCAAAAAGATATTCAGCTTTTAAAAGAAGATATTGGAGAGAATACGGCATCCACGGCGCTCGTTTGTGAAAATGACTGGCGAGGTGTTCTTTCTGCAGTCCCGTAATCGCTCTTCATCTGGCGCACTTTCCCGATAGAGAGCCTTCCTTTTCGGCGAAAGATTGACGAGCTATCGCCGTTTTGGGCATCGCCATTCCCAAATGTTTGGATCGATTTTTACACTAAATTTTGGCTGTATTAGTATTCTGTATTGTAGAAATTGTGCGTTCTGTTCAAACCATTTGGGAACAGCAGATGAACTGCAAGAAAAACGCGATCTGACTAAAATAAAACTAGTCGAGTCTTTAGATCTTAACAATTCATTAGAAATACCCGAAATCCCGAATTTCCTGAAATCTTCTTTGTTTAAATGCTACAGAGAGACAAAGCCAAAAGCTGAGGCTGAAGAAATTTGCTGGAGTATTCGATCTTGAAGAAACTCAAGTTTTGGAAGCATTTTAAGGGGTGAAAGGGTTCATTTTAAGAATCCTCGTTGAGACAAGGGTTACTGTATGTGTTTTAAACGTTATAATTCTCCAAATTTATTCATTGCACACAAATATTATAGCCAACAAGAAAAAGGGCAAGAAAGTTATGAAGTTTAATCGTTGCTCTCGGTTTTCTAAAAGCTCTTTACAAGTTTTGGTCGAGAGGAGAGCATAAGCGTAAAATAATGAAAAAAAAACCCGTAAAATCTTGTTTTTTCTTTTGTTCTTGACGAGGAATTGAGAGAATTTCATCAGAATTTAAATTTGAACACACAAAAAATGCAATTTCTTATTTTAAAATAAAAATTTTCGATTTTAAAAAGTCAAGTTTCAAAAAAGGGCAGATTTTTGAGGGAATTTTTTGATTAGTTATTTAATTTAATTTGACTTGATTTGATTTGATTATCTATTTAATTTATTTTAAATAGATAATCAATTTTAATTAGATAATTCATATAGAAATTTGGATTAGAAATTTCAAAAGTAAATTTCTTCTAGAAATTTCCTCAAAAAGGACGCCTTTTTGCAATCGGAAAATGAGATGAAATTGAGGAAAGATTTATGTAATTATTAGATGTTTTATAATCGAAAAATCACTCGGATTCCTGGCGAAAGAGTGATTCGCCGTGGTGACTCGGCGACGATGGGGTTACCGTCTCCGGAATCGGCGCCAAACTCAGCGAATCGACTCCTGAAGTTTTAAAGTCCATTTAGCAATTAGGATCTTGTTTTTGGGTAGATTCTTTAAAGCTATTTGATAAAGTAATGATTACTATTGTAATATTACATGTAATATTGCTTGTACTATTACTTGTAATATTACTTTAAAAGTGTTTTCAAATCGAAAAAATACATTCGAAATTTCGACTAGGAAATCGATGAGTGAAATCAGTTTTTTTTATTTCTATTCTTTATGGAAATGATACTGCAGTCGTATTGGGACTGGAATATTGAAAAGCTTGTCATCTAAACAGTTTTATCATTTCTGCATAACCCACTATCCATCAACGAGCCCCCATATTCGCCGAATGAGGTTTTCCGTCGCGGTGGAAGCAATGGCTCGGAGAGTCCCCTTTGCAAACAACCGACACCGATGCGGCGAGCTCCCTGAATTCATTCAAATAGCAGAGTTGAGAAAAATGTTTAAACACTAGATTACTAATAGATTTTCAGTGCCCGTTCACTTTCCCCGCCAGAATTTTATATTTGAAAGATGATCTATTTTCCACAGACTGTTTACTTACAGAATCAAAGTAAATGACAAATGTTGAAACACAATTTTTTCCACAATTTTCAAGTTCGCTTTTAACGTGCTAGCTAAGCAAAATCTATCAAAAAAAAGCTAGATTCTTTGAAAGGGAAATGTAAAGAGCTAAAAAATTACTCTTGGTGATAGAAGTGAGTGCTGATGGGTGAGTGAGTGACTCCTTTTGAAGGCCAACTCGACAAGTGCGTGCGGGGAACGAGATGAAGATGGAAGGGATGAGGTCGTTGGCTGAAATCATTCAAATATTATACGAGAATCAAGGAATACACAAAAGTACACAATCCTATTAAAAACTCTGCTTTACAAGTTGCACCATAACTTTACTAAAACTAGACATTTTTTGCTCATGCATTTCTGATTAAATTAAAATTTACGATTCAACCTTGGCTTTTTTTGAAACCGACCTCTTCGCACTCGGCTTCCTCACTACTTTCTCGGATCTCTTCAAAAGAACTGCCGATAGATTTGATTCGATCATCTCGTCGGGCCACTGAGGTGCCCGGATGTACCTAGAATTTATGAAATTTTAAACTCTCCCTATGCCTTTTCAAAAATGTGTCTTGTCTCAAAATTTAGTTGAGAAGAAGCACCTCTGATCACCGTATCTTTAAAGGAAATGGATTCCAAATTGCAGCAAGGGTCAGTAGCTTATTGCCCAGCCCAGCTACAGTACTCCTTTTCTAAGCACTGTATCTTATAGCTACAGCTACATCTCTTGACCTATTTAGGCCAGTGCCGTGCTTATTAAATTAGCATATCATACCAGCGGATCCACGCAATCTAAGCCCCGACCGCTTTTGCCAATGGCGGACAGACAGACGGACAGACAGACAGACAGACAGACAGACAGACAGACAGACAGACGGACAGACAGACGGACAGGCAGACGTTTCTTCTGCTTTATATATAGTAGATTATTAGGCTTACGGCAATCTTGCTTTAGAAAACATATTCTTTTAGCATAGCTTCCTCACCTCGTTCCCCAAATTCGGCTTTTTAATTGGCTTCTTTTGAGTGTGATAGCTAGAATTGAGAGCCCCACTTGGGCCAATTGGTGGCGCTCGTTCGGCGATCGGGCGAAACGGAACCCGTCCCTCTGTCGCGGTCATTTTATGAGCTGCAAAATTTGTAAAAGTTAGTTCTCGAATTTGAAACAAAAACAAGAAAAAGGCATTGTCGTGAATGGATTAAGGCGTTTAACAATGCTTAAAATGGCTTAAAAATTCCTCAATAACTCCAAAAAAAAACCCAATTTTGATTGGGGAATTGAAAAAGTGATCTTGCTAAACATTTTCTCAAAAAAAAATTGGTTGTTTAAATAAAAAAGGTTTGACAATCAGCAATTCTTAGTCACTTTTGGCTCTTTTTTGGCCGAAAACAATGGTTCTGAGAATGGAAAGAGGAAAATAAATATGAGTTTCAAAATGAAATGACTCATTTTTCACAAAAACGATCATTGAAGTCATTTTTGAGAGAGAAAACGAGAGATTTCTTTTGAGGAAAAATGATTGGAAATTCGTGTGGGATCTGGGAAATCAACTGGACTAGAAAGGGGGAGGGGGGAGGGGAGGGGGGAGGGGAGGGGGGGGGGAGGGAGAGGAAGTTGTGTTTCAAAAAGTTGCGTAAAGTTTTTTAGATCGGAAAATCTATCGTTTCTGAAAGTTTTGGGATTAATCTTTTTTTGTCAAAAGTCTGGTTGCTTAAATTGAAACTAGCAAATTTTTGGATTTGAAAATAGAGAAAATGTTTAAGAGTTTTAGAGAGATAAGGAACCAAATCTAGAGAGATAGGGAGCCAAATTTGAAGAGATATGGAACCAAATTTAGAAAGATAAGGAATCAAATTTAGAGAGATAAGGAACCAAATTTAGAGAGTTTCGGAAATTTGCATTCAAACGTGATACCGTAACGGATAAAGTAACGAAAATATCGAAATTTTATAGTTTAAAAGATTATGTAATCGTCTATATGGCATATGGCAATTTTTGGCCATCCTTTCGCCATCCAACACCATCCAACAATTGGCCGACATCATCCACCGATTAACCCCACAAAACAACGTTTATAAGATCATTATTTTGAAACTTGGAAAAAATTTTTGACGTTATCGAAAGAAAAAATGAACCTAAACCGCCTAGAAGCAAAAATAAGCATTACAGTAAAATGTAGACTTTGTTGATGATCAATTTGTTGATGATACAGCAGTTTGTTGATGATCTATTCGTATAGAAACTGAAAATCGATGATTTTCGGATAATTTGGTGATGTGACTGTAAGAAAAGTGGAATCATTTGCAGAACTTTGGACTCATCAGAGCCACAATCAGACTTTTAGACTGATGAGTATTCTGAAATTGAACTTTTCGAATCGTTAAAGTGCACCGAAAGTTTAGCTTTTAAAAAAACAATGTTTAAAAGAAGAACATTTTGAAAGTTGAGAAATTTTTACGAACAAATATGGCCAAAAATTTTAAAGTTAGAGTTTAAAACCTTAAAAAGTACTTTAAAAGTTTTAAGGTACAAGCAGCCTTTTAGCGTACAAGAAGCAGCACAAGCGAGCGTACAAGCTGTACAGTACAAGCTGTACAATACAAGCTGTACAATATAAGCTGTACAGTACAAGCTGTACAGTACAAGTTGTACAGTACAAGTTGTACAGTACAAGCATCCTTTTAACACTTTTCTCTGCCAAAAAAACAAATCAGAATTAAGAAAAAAAGGAATTCACTAGAGGAGAAATTTGGTTTTTTATTTCAAAAAAATTGAAACACAAATATTTTACTTGGAAAAAAATAGGATTCTTAGATTTTTAGTCAAATACTTTTTTTCCCAAAAGCTTTCCTTCACCAAAAACTCTCTTTCTGTTCACTTTAAACGAAAACGGGTTGCTTATTTTGAAACAAATGAATAGAAAAAATGGTTTAGAATAAAATTGGTAGAAAAAAAGGTCGAAAAAAAGCGTTTAAATCTTTATTTTCGAAATTCGGGAAGCAAATTTTGACGTGAACGATTGGTTGGATTGAAGAACAAGTTTACAAATGAAATATTTTGAAACCTGCAAACTTTTTGGGGTTTTGAATAAATTTGAAATAAAGCTGGAAAAAAATGAGATTATTTAAGGGAGAAATTTTCAAAAATCATCAAAAATCAAATGATGAATATGCAAAATTTTTGAGAGAAAATGGCTGAACGGTGGAAATTTTGAAATGTTTTTGGTTTTTAGATGAACTTTCGAAAAACGCATGAAAAGATGAGATCAGGAGCTCGAGAAAATTTCATTTAAAGGCCAATTTTGAGTTTTAAATTTTAAAATCGATCAATTTTGGATAGAAAACTTTAAAACGAGCTTCGAGATGCCGGAAATTTTCGTTTAAACCCTTTTTTTTGTCTTCTGAAGTCAAAAGCTGACATTTATTGGGTGATATGGAAAAAAAACAAACAAAATTTGCTTTTGAATCTTTTGAAAATTTCAATTTTGAAAGAAAAAGAAAAAAAAAAGATTGATATTTTTTCTGAGGCTGGTTTAAGAGAAAACTTGAAACACAGAGCTTTCGTGGGTAAGGGGAAGACGCTTTCGACAAGATTCAAACATCGGTAAGTGAAAGAAGATAAAAACTCGTCATAAAATATACAAATTATGATAGATTTTCAGAAAAAAAACAGTAAAATTTGACATTTCTAGATGAAAATAGGAATACTTTGCTCAAAAAAACCCAATAGAATTTTCTTTAGTTCGAATGCTGTGGAGTGAAATCGTACAGTGATTGATTGGGCGCTGCTTGGGATGGAAAAAAAGCTGGTGATGATAAATCACAAGAAGATCTAAAGCCAGAACATGGGATTGGGGCACTCGGTGGACGGGGAAATGGTTTTGGTGAGGAAAGAATAGATCCACTCAACTTGTTACCACTTACAAGCTCTAGATTTTCTAACTCATAGCAGTATTGGCATTGCATTTGCAGCTTTCAAAGGAAACCAAATTGTTCGATACCAGTTTTTAGTGAAATTTTGCTTAAAATTGTTTAAAATTGCTTCAAATTGCTTCAAATTGTTTAAAATTGTTTAAAATTTGATGTTGTATCAACTAGGAACGAACAATTAGAAAGAATTAAAGGAAATTGAAACCCCAAAAATTGAAACAAGCAAAAGTTAAAGCATTTTTTGTTTTGATATTAAATTCAAAGCAAAAGATTTTCCCTTAATTTACGAATCGATGGGCTTTACTGGGGATTCGATTTGAGGCTTCTTTACCAGAAAACTTGAAACACAAAGTTTTCGCGGGTGGGAAAAACGAATCTGACACGAGTTAAAGTAGTTAAAGCCAATCCCCTGTATTGCAAATCCTTTATATCCAAATCCAAATCCAAACCCTTTGTCTTCAAATACAGTAAACTAAAGCCAACTTTCTCTACGTCAAATCGATCATTCAATTTTTTAAAAAATCAATTTCAACGTCTCGACTTTGAAACGAACAAAATTCAAAATCGGATTTTAAGTCAAAAAAAAAACTCAAGTTTCAACATTCATCAAATTGACTGTAAATGATGAATCAAAATCAACCAGATCTCCCAAAGATAAAGGATAATTAAATCCCCTAAAGAACAGTTTAATTGCTCAACTTTGAAACACGCAAAAAATTTTTTGGATTTTTGGAATCAATTTTTGAAAGAAAACAAAATGCCATTCAGCAAATTGAAGTAATCAAAATGAAAGTAGAATTGAACAATTTGAATTCAATTAAATGAAACCTGCAACTACAATATTTTAGCTTTAAATCAAAGTTATTCAATAAACTTCAAAAGTATCAACAAATTTTTCCGAGATTTTTTGAAATTTCCACTTTCTTTGCTTTGTTCGAAAATTTTTATGAAAAACAAAAACAAAATACGGAAAAAGATTTGATGAAGATAAGAGGGAAGGGAAGGAAGGGATGAGAGGGAAGGGAAGGAAGGGATGAGAGGGAAGGGAAGGAAGGGATGAGGGGAGGGAGGAAGGGAGGGGGGGAAGGAAGGATGAGGGGAAGGGAAGGAGGGAGAGGGGAAGGGAAGGAAGGGATGGAGGGAAGGGAGGAAGGGATGAGGGGAAGGGAAGGAAGGGATGAGAGGGAAGGGAAGGAAGGGTGAGAGGGAAGGGAAGGAAGGGATGAGAGGGAAGGGAAGGAAGGGATGAGAGGGAAGGGGAAGGTTTGCATGGGAATGAAGGAAATGAATGGATTCGATTCTTCGGAAAGGAAAATAAATAAATATTTGGTTAAAAATCTAGGGATTCTCTTTTTTTTCCAAGTAAAATATTTGTGTTTCAATTTTCCTGGAATGAAAAAGCGGTAAGGGGAATCAGTTCTGGCATTTCTCTTTCAGATAATTTCTTTTTTTTGTCTTAATTCTTGATTAGTTTTTTGGAATAGAAAATTGCTAAAAGGCAGCTTGTGGGCCCACTTGTACGGCTGCTTGTACTGCTGATTGTACTGTTGCTTGTACTGCTGATTGTACTACTGCTTGTACTGCTGATTGTACTGCTGATTGTACGCTAAAAGGCTGCTTGTACGTTAAAACTTTTAAAGTACTTTTTAAGGTTTTAACTCTAAGAGAATCAAAAAAAAAGAAAGATGGTTAATAACATGTTTTCAGTTGATCTTCTAGAAATATATTGCAGAAATTCTAAATTTTGGGCATAAAATTGTTTGCCGAACACTGTAAAAGTTAGGATTTTTTCAAATAAGCATTCAAAGGAGATAGCAAAATTGTTGAGAAAATTTGAGTTTCAATTTATTTCAAAATTAGAACAAATGGGGGAAATCAATGGGCGGAGGAACTGAGATCATAAAATATTTCAGTCTTTCGATTTGGGTGTGATCAAAAATGGTTTTTTTGGCTTAATTTATATATATATATATATATATGCTTTGCTTTATTCAGGGACCGAATAGAAGCTAATCAGATAATCATAACCGCATATAACATAACATAACATTGCTACCATACTTTTACAAAAAAGAAAGAAATTTGAATGCTTGAGTTCTGGGAAATTTCTAAATACAATTCAAGTTTCAGAGAGACTTTGATTCTGATAAAAATCACAATATTTACAGTAATCTTTTACTGAATTCTTTTT